CCAGGACTTTTACTTGGGGGTCCCCCAGCACCCCCAGAGCACTTCTCATCTCACTTAGGGCCCAGGTAGCCTGCCTGACCCCAGGCCCTGTCCCCCACTTGGGCCCAAGCCCTCCCCAGAAGCCTCCCTTGTCCTCTGGTCACCAGCACCTGAGAGCTCCCCCGCAAGGCCCCAGCTCTGCCAGGCAGCTCCCTGCAGGCACGGGAGGGGTCAGCCCTGGTGTGCTGGACACGCACAGACCCCAGGAGCTGACCAGAGCATCTGGGCCCCAGCTCGGGCCCCCTGGGCCATGGCTCACCCAGGCCCGGCAGCTGCAGCGATGGGGGGGCATCTAGGCTGAGCCAGGGTCCAGTGGCAGAGGGTCAGGGGAGTCGGTGCCCCCAGGCAGGCAAGAAGCACCCAGCAGAGGATGGGTCAGTGGCGGGTCAGGGTGTCCTCCCGCCACCTGCCGTGACCCAGGACTAAGCTGAGCCTCAAGCATCCCTGCGACAGGATCTCCCGCTCGCAGGCACCCGTCCACACCACCGGGGCCCGGAAGAGAGCGGCTGGACCATCCGGGCAGAGACTAGTGGCAGGAATGTCAGCTCCCCGCCTCAGTTTCCCCCATGCTGGGGGGGCTGACCCTACGACCCCTGCTCCTGCCAAGTTGGAGCCTCCCAAGAAGGGGGCAGCTCAGGGGTGTGAGCACTCCCATCCCAGCACCCGAGCCACCAGGTACCCCTCACGACCTCCCTGAGAACGTCAGGTTGGCCTCCCCAGCACCAGCTCCAGGGAGCCTCCGGGTTCACCTGGGGGCTCCTGGCCAGGTGATGGGCGCCCAGGACCAGGCCTTCCTTGGGGGTAGGTGGGCTGAGGAGACACGACCTCACTAGCCACTGTTCTCAGCAGAGGCGGAGCAGCCAGGCCCAGAGACCCCTCCCGGGTGCGGGGGCACAGCGGGGGAGGAGGGGAAACACCACAGGCAGAGACCGGGGCCTTCCAGGCTGGGAGCGTGCAGGCCGGTGACATGAGAGGCCCTTTACTGGCAGGCCCTGAAGGTCACCCCCTCGGAGGTCAGCGTCCGCGGAAGGCATGGGATAGACTGTGGGAGCCGGCGCTGACCGTCCCAGGCCACGGTCACCTCTCCCCGGCAAACCACCTGGAGGCAGCAGGCAGGAGCGCGGGGATAGTGGCCCCAGGGTCTATTCTAGACTTAGCAGGCAGCTCTGGGCCGAGCAGGGTCCCAGGGGCCTTGTCTCCCCGCGGGGCCCTGAGCATGTCCCGTGTCCCCTGTCTAGGGTCCGACCTGCCGTGCAGACGGCCAGCCCTGACTCACGGCCTCCTGACACTGAGGAGGGCGGGAGGGGAGCGCGGGGCTTGTCTGCCAGCCGGAGGGTTGGGGCCACTGACCTGAGGGCCTTCGGCCGCCTTGGCCGGCTGCCTGCTCGTGGGGCTCCTCCTGGGTTCGAGGGAAGGGGGGTACTCGGCTGTGGGCACAGGGGTCAGAGTCCAGCAGGAAGGGTCAGGGGAGCTGAGTCTTCCTCCTCAGGGCAACCGGATCACAGGCCCCTGCTCAGCCCCTGCACCTTCCCCTGGACAATGGGTGGGGTGGGGAGCTAAGGGGGGCAGGGAGGCAGGGATGGGAAAGGGGGAGCAAGGCAGGGAGGGTCCCACCCAAGGTCAAGGCCTCATGCAGGACAGAGGGTCAACCCCAGGACCGACCTCCAGTTCAGGTGGTGCCCAGCTCCCCACGGGGCAGGCAGCGGGGTCCCCCTCCTAAGGACTGGGTTGCACCCCCTGGGCCATGCCACCTCACTGCCCACCCAGGGAGAGCCAGAAACCCCGAGTTGCCAGCTTGAAGTCTCTGCGGGGTTCTCAGGAGGCCTCCACTGTTGGCCAGAGAGCTGGGATGGGGGACCACGCAGCTGGGGCTCCCAGAGCTTCCCACAGCACCTCAGCGGGGCCACTGACTGCCCCCCATCTGCTTCTTATGTCCTTTTGCTGAGGGACTGCCAGACCCCCAGGACACTGCCCAGTCAGGGTGGCAGTTCTGGGGATCCCTTTGAGCCCTACAAGCTCCCTTGGGCGCAGCCATCCTCCCAGGCTAGAGAAAAAGCCTCTAGCGCGGGTGCTCAGCCCCAAGTCTGACCACGGGGCCCCCTCTCACAAGTGGGGGTCCATCTCTCAAACCTCTTCCTGCCCCACTTTCTGCTGCCCCCACCGGCCCCAGGAAGGAGGGTGGGCCACCAGACAGCCGCAGAGGAGGACCCTCACCCCACGCCTCGCTCCCCTCCCCAGCACACGGCAGGATGCGGGGATCTTGTGGGGAAGGTGCCGCTCGGGACCAGTGCCCATTCCCACCTGTCCTGAGGGGCCAGCGGGCACGGGCCAAGAGAGTGTGGGCCCAGTCCTGGGTCAGAGCCAGACTGTCTGCTGAGGCTGCCCCTCACCACCAGGACCCATGTCCTTCCTCCGGGCCAGGCCCAGGGGACAAGTGCTCATGTCCTGTGGGAGCCTTGGGTGGGAAGACAGGGAGCACAGAGGAACCCGACATGGGGTGAAAGTGACTGCACCCCCCCAGGCCAACAGAAACTGGCCACTGCCCTCTCCCTCTCTCTCCCTCTCTGTCTCTCTCATCCTCTCTCTCCCTGTTTCCCTCTCTCTCTCTCTCTCTCCCCCTCCCTCCCTCCCCTCTCCTCTGGCTCCCTCTCTCTCTCCGTTCCTATCTCCTTCCCCGCCCTCCCTCTCTCCATCCCTTCCTTCTTTTTTTGGTCTTTGGAACACATCCAGTAGTGTGCATAGGGATCACTCCTGGCTTGGGGACTATATGCGCTGCTGGGGCAATCACATGCAAAGCAAGTGCCCTACCTCTGTGCTATCTTTCCGGCCTCCACGCCAACCTTTCTTTAGACGTTTATGGGGGAACATGGCACTGCCTGACGCACTGTATTAATGCGAGAACATGACAGTGCAGTCCCCCGGGCACTGCACCCAGACTATATGAGGGGAGTGTGGCTAGGAATACTGGGTTGAGTTCTCAGAAGTGGGTTACACTGTAACATTGAGGAGTATCCAGGTCCAAATCCAGGGTGGGAAGTGACCAGTGGGCACTGCCCGGGGCTGCCCAGCCTGCTCCTCACTCTATGCCCCTTGCAAGCGTGCTCCCTTTTGAGGCCACCATGCCCAAGGATGCAGGGAGGTGGACAGGCCTCAATGGGCAGCACCAGGGGAGGACAAGTAGCCCCCCACAGAGCAGCACACTAGATCCCAGAAGCCCCCAGGACCAGAGGCAGGGGTCCCAACAGCAGTAAGAAGCTAAGCATCTGGGGTGTAGAGGGTCCCTGGCAGCCAGCACCCCTAGGCTCGGCAGCGCTGCTGGTCTGCCCCCCCCCCACTGCCATCCCCAAGGAGGGCTGGCTCGGGCGTCCCAGAATGCCTGCTGCCACCCTGAGGTGCAGCCAATAAAACTTGTGGGGCGCTCTGGCCTCCCCCACCCTCTGAGCTCCTGCAGGGCCCGGCCCAGATCCCCTCCCCACACCTCCAGGCATGTGAGCCCCAACAAGCTTCCAAAAGTGACCAGGAAGCCGGAAGAGCCGCTCAGACTGGGATCTCGGGAAGCGACAGCAGTAGGTGCCGGCCCCTAGGCCCCACCCGACCTTGGTCCACAGACCTTCCTGCGGGGAGCACTGCAGGTGGCCCCAGGGTCAGTCACCTCTGGACCTTGGAGCCAGGATGAGAGCTGGGCCAATCCCCTGCAGGTCAGGGGTCAGTTCAGGCCATCCCTCAGGGGTGGAACCCAGTTCTGGGGCCTGGCAGACACTGAGGGGTTGCATCCCCGCACTCAGGAGCCCAAACCCAGATGGACACTTGGCAGGGCCAGGGGCTTCCCTCACTGGGGTCCCAGCAAGCCTCCTGGATCGTCCTGCCTTCCCCCAGCCTCCTGCCCAGGCACCCCTGCCCATACCACTGTCCCGATCCCTGCAAGCGCCCTTGGCACAGCTGGATACATGGGCTGTCCCTGTTCAACTGGTCCTACCGCTGCCAGCTTGTTCCTGCCCTGTGGCCGAGTTAGCAAAGGTTCACGCAGGCCCTGGGCCAACACCACTGACCTGCCTTGACTACATGTCAGAGGTCCTAAGGGCCCAAGAGGGGCCCAGTCCGGTCACTCGCACAGACCCTGGTGGGTAGGAACAGCTGCCCAGTGCTGGCCTCTTCCCAGCCAGTGGCCCTGAGGACCAGGGACACCCACTCTAGCTCCCCATCCCTGAAGCCCGATCTGAGACACGTGACTGGACACACCCCAGGGCCTAGGAAAAGGGTTCAGCTGCCCCAGTCCCCAGCTTCCCCAAAGCACACCGGCGCCCATGGGCTGACTCAGCACCCCACTTTTCTCTGTCCACGTGAGCAGGAAGGACTGAGGCAGGTTTCATACTTCCAGAAGGTCTCCCGGAGGGGCTTGCCCCATGCCACAGCTCTAAGGGGGTCGCCAAAAACCCCACCCGCCCTCCAGCGGCTGCCAGGAGCCCGCCCAGACCCTCTCCCTGCACCACCACCACCCGAAGTTCCCGGGGGCGGGGCACCCCCATGCTCGGGCCTGTCAGTCTGAGGAGTCCTGGGCATGGCCCGTAAGGAAGCTCGCGGCAGAGCAGAGCAGCCTGAGCCCAGGCAGTGCCAGGCTGCAGGCTGAGACCCGCCGGCCCGGGATACACGCTGCAGGCCTGTCTGGGCGTCCCACCCGCGGCGCGGCCCGACACGCGGAGGCGGTGGGAGCCGGCTCTCGCGCAGGGCCCAGAGCAAGGTCAGGGCTGTTTAGGAGTCGCGCCCCCGCGAGCCCAGGGGCGGCAGGGCCGCGGCACCGGCCTCAGGCCTGGGCGCCCCCTGCGCACCCCGAACCCGGGCGCCCCCCGGACAGCGCCGGGCCGGCCCCGCGCCGCCGCGTCCGAGACCTACACGCGACCCGCCACCCCGGGGCCGCCGACGCCCGCGCGCCCGCCTCCGCCTCCCGACTCGCGGTGCCTCACCCGCCCGGCTCGGCCGCTGCTCTGGCTCCGGAGTCCGGGACTGGCGCTGCCTCCGGCCCGAGAACCCGCACACGGGCTCCCCGGCCCGGCCCGGATCCGCCCCTTCCCGGACCCACCCACCCAGCTGGCGGCCCGCCCGCCCGGCGCCGCCCCCTTCCGGGTCCGCCCACCAAGGCTCCGCCGCCTTCAGGCCCGCCCTCCCGCCCATCTGGCGGGGCCCCGCCCCGCCCCAGCCCCACCCTCTTATGGCCCCGCCCACCCAGCTGCGCGGCTCCACCCAGCCCCCTTTGGGGCCCGCCCTCCCGATCCCGCCCTCTTCCTGTCCCGCCCACCCAGCTGTGCCGCCCGCCCGCCCCGGCTCCGCCCCTTCCCGGTCTTGCCCTCCCAGCTGCGCGGCCCGCCCCGGCCCCGCCCACCCGCTCTGGCCCCCCCCACCAGGAGTGCACCAGCCCCGCCCCTTACAGGGCTCTGCCTGTCGGGACTCCTTCCCGCAGTGCTCACTCTCCGGGCCCCGCCCCTCAGGGCGCCTGCTCCCGCTTCCCGGGGCTGCGCCCGCCCCACCTCCGGCTTCTCCCGGTTGCGGCGGAGCCCCGCGCTCTGCCCCGTTTTCCGGGTGCCGCTTGGCTCCAGCCGGCCCTCCGCTCCTAGCGTCCAGACCAGCCACACCCTGGGTCCTGACCTCGCGGTCCAGGGTCTCCCCGCCTGCCGGTGACCCTCGGGCACAGCATCTCCTCCTGAACCCGCCCTGCTCTGGACACGGGGTCTGGGCGCTTCTCGCTTGGCCTCCCTGAGGGACCCCCAGATGGACCGACTCCGCGTATGGGGGCTGGTCAGGTCTCTTAGCCATTGGGTCCAGAAGGGCCAACCAAGTAAGGCAGAGAGGCGAGTCCATATTCGCGGGGACCTGGGGCCTTCCAGGGAAGCAAGGGGCCTGCAGAGCAGAGCTGAGAGCTTCTCTGTGGTCCCAGGGAGTGAGCATGAGGGTGGGAAGAGGCAACAACGTGGGGACTCGGGGGCCCTGCAGTGGGGCAGAAGCTTGCCAGCAGCTGCCCAGCCTGGAGGAGTTAGCTGGGGGAGCAGCACCAGCCTCCTGCCTCGGTCCGGTCCCCAGCTGTGGAATGTGGGGTGCAGCTGCTGGGGCTGGCAGGGCTCTGTGCGGGGGGGGTAGGGCCTGGCTGAGGGAGGGGCATGGGCCACTGAGACCCTCACTGCCTCTCCTCCCCCCACTGTGCCTGGGGTGCAACTTGGGGCCTGTTTCTATTTTCAGCGCTTTCTGGTCCTGCTTTCAGCCCTGTGGGTGTGGAGAAGGATCCAGAAGGGGAAGCCGTGGAGGGGGGGTAGGAAGGGGAAGTGGGGGCCTCAGAACACCCCAGGCCTGTGGGGGTGACGGAGAGTAGGCATGGTAGGGCTGCCTGAGGTGGTCTCTCTAGGACCCCAGCCAGCTTCAGAGTGCGCTGGGTTGCCCGGAGGGCGCCTGGACACCCCATCCCCTGGCCCTCAGAGGTACACCTGGACCTGTCCCAGGCAGGGCTGCTGGGACCCTGTGCTTCAGGCTCAGAGACCTCGTCTCCACCCCAGAAGCTCAGAGGACTCAGATAAGTGGACACAGGCCACTGTAGAGATGACCTCAGTCTGCCCACATTAACCCCAAGTACTCAGTGGACAAGGGTCCAGCTGACAGGACAGTAGGGCTACCCAGGCGAAGGCCTGGTGGCCACATCCACACAACCTGGTCCACCCCTTGCTCCTCACTCCCCTCCTGCTGGGCTCAGCACCGTGACCCCTTCGTTGGCTCCCCACAGCAGCCCGAAGAAAGGGTGAAGAAGTGACCTTTCCCCTCGCCCACTCCACCCTGGCCGCAGTGTTGAGAGCAGCTTTGCCTTTGAGACCCACCTGGGAAGCCGGCACACCCCTGCCCCAGCTTTCCTTTTTTCTTTTTCATTTATTCGCACTTACTTATTTATGGTGGACTGGAGCAATAGCATAGCGGGTGGGGCTTTTGCCTTGCATGTAGCCGACTCTGGTTTGATTCCTCCATTGCTCTCAGAGAGCCCGGCAAGCTACCGAGAGTATCCCGCCCGCATGGCAGAGCCTGGCAAGCTCCCCATAGCACATTCAATATGCCAAAAAAATAAAACAGAAACAACAAGTCTCACAATGGAGATGTTACTGGTGCCCGCTCAAGCAAATCAATGAGCAACAGGATGATGGTGCTACAGTGCTATAGTGCTTTGAAAATCTGGAGGGATACTTGATCATTGTATAACTGAAACCCAAGCACAAAAATTTGTAAGTCTATAACAGTACCTCATGGTGTTTCACTAATAAAAAAATAAATAAATTGAAATTAAAAAAAAATTGGGGCTGGAGCAATAGCACAGTGGGTAGGGCATTTGCCTTGCATGCAGCCGACCTGGGTTCAATTCCTCCGCCCCTCTCGGAGAGCCCGGCAAGCTATGGAGAGTATCCCGCATGGCAAAGCCTGGCAAACTACTCATGACACATTGGATATGCCCAAAACAGTAACAACAAGTCTCACAATGGAGATGTTACTGGTGCCCGCTTGAGCAAACCGATGAACAAGAGGATAGTGCAGTGCTACTTACTTATTTTGGCTTTGGGGGCACACCTGATGTGGTGATGCTCAGGGAGTCTTCCTTGGCTCTGTACTCAGGAATTACTCCTGGTGGTGCTTGGGGGACCATATGGGTGCCAGGGATCAAACCCAGGTCAGCCACGTGCAAGGCAAGTGCTGTGCCCATTGTCCTATCACTCTGTCCCCCTCCCCATTGTTTTTTTTAGTGGGTCTGGGCCACATCCAGTGGTGCAGGGGCTACTCCAGCTCAATGCTTGTGGAAAGGGTGTTCCCAGGGGAGTCAGGAAGTTGGGGTCAGCTGCCTGCAAGCAAGCACAGAGCACCGTGGCCTTGGCACTGCTCCCCGGTTCAGTTCTCTTATGTTTCCGTGCCCCATAGAACAGCGTCTCCTCTCTTCTCTCCGGGCTGCAAGATCGGCTTTCCAATCTCATCACCTCCTGGGTCTGGGGGTTTCCTCCCTCCTCTGTAGCACAACCCCAGCCCCCCCACCCCACCCCCATTCCGCCTGCACTCTCCGGGTGTGGTGCTCTGGCCCTTCTCATCCCCCCAGGACTTCAGCCTGGCTTCTGGAATTCCCTGGGATTTCCTCAGTGGTGCAGAGCTCCATTCCCAGTGACCTCACACGCCCTGCTGCGCTCCTGCCTTGCTCTAGTTCTGTTCTGTTGTGGCAGGAGGGGCCCTGGTCATGCTGCGGATGGGTGTGGGGGGCCCTTTCTTCAGCCCCTGCCTGTCCCCAGCCCCAGCTCCTTCCCTTCCTTTCTGGTCCACCAGCACCCTCCTGGGCAGCTCCTTCTTCCCTTGGAGAGTTTCTCCCCTTTCCCTGGCACAGTGGGCCCCCCTCACTCTGGGGGCCGCTGCAGGAAACCCCCAGGCTCCCCTAAAGTCAGGAGTTGGAGTTGGGGGGACGCAGCTTTCATTTCCGGTGGGGTCGGCAGGGCCCCAGGAAAGGCTGCGGGAACCCGCACTGGGCATTTGCACAGACCAGGAGAGCTCGGCCTGCCACGATCCTGGGCTGCTACCCACCCTGCCCCCATGCTACCCCCCGCCTCCTCCTTGCAGGGAGCTTGGGCAACCCGGGCCCCCTCAGCACCCTCAGCCAGAGGCCGGACCAAGAAGCTGGGGCTGCTGCACCCCTACCCCACGCCCCCCAACCCCCCTCCCATAACCCAGACCCCTAAGTGCAGAGTCCACCCAGGTCTTGGCCTGGAGCGGGGCAGTGGCCCCACTGTCCTTGGGGAGCAGGCTGGGCGGTCCCACCTGAGTCCTAATCTAGCCCTAGTCTGTCTTCCGAGCACTTCCCAGGGGACCTGCTCCCTCAGCCCTACCTGTCTCTGGGGGCTAAGCTGCAGTGTGTGACCTGGTTGTGGGGGTCCCGAAAGGCAGCTCTCTGCCTTACATCTTCCCTGGGAGCCTAGTGACCCGGAGCCAGCCTGCCGCGCCCTGACTCCTCCCTTGACGCGCTGGGCTCACCTGCCCCAGACCCTGTGGGAAGGACAAGGCCGTGCAGAGAGCTGGGGAGACTGGTATCAGGCCCCAGAGAACAGGGAGAGGCACTTGCCTTGCACATGGCCAATGCCTGTCACTGCATAGGGTCCCCGACCACTAGGGGTGACCCCTGAGAGAAGAGCCAGGAGTAAGCCCTGAGCCTCAGTCAGGTGTGGCATATATATATATATATATATATATATATATATATATATATGTATATGTGTATTATATATATCATAAAGTATGTATAGTGTCTCATGGGTGGGAGAGAAGAGCGTCGAAGAAATAGCTAAGAGGATGAAGAACCTCTGGCTCCAGGCACATCTCTTCGACTCCACCGTTCTTCCTCAGAGACCTGGGCCCTAAGAAAACAGGATGAGAACATTATTCGGGTCTCCCAAAGAGGAATCGAAAGAGCTATGCTTGGAGTATCACGCTTCACTCAAGTGAGAGAAGGAACCCGGAGTTCCAACCTCCATCGACGATCGAGAATCAGGGACTCTGTCTCGTTTGCCAAGGCGCTGAAAATCAGATGGGCTGGACACATAATGTGATTTGAAGACGACCAGTGGACTAGAGCCATTACCAACTGGATTCCATGGGACATCAAAAGAACACGTGGCCGCCCACCTACGAGATGGTCAGATTTCTTCGTCAAGACCCTGAACGAACGGTTTGAGGCTCTTTGTGTTCCTGGAGCGAGCAGACGCCATTGGGTTACACTAACATGCAACAGGGACGGATGGAGACGTTATTGGCGCCCGCTCAAGCTAATGGATGAGTAAGGAGGGATGTCAAGTAATCAAGTGATAGTGTCTCATACAAGTTCCTGTAAAGGCTCATGGATGTCAGTGCACTGAGTATGGGGGAGGAAGGAGCCTGTGAGGAGCCTTCGGGCAGGAGTCTGAAGGGAGGAGCCTGAGGGGAGGAAGCTGCCCCCCTCTCCCTTCAAAAAAGGAGGAGCCTGCGGGGAGGAGTCTCGGGGAGGAGCCTGCGGGGAGGTGCCTGCTGGAAGAAACAACTTTCCTACAGCAGGTCAGGCAAAAGGACAGCAGCTGGGGTTCGCAAGTCCTGGGCACTCATTTTTGTTTCCTTCTCTGCCCCTTTAAGTTTCCAAACAGCTAGGGTGAGGGTAGGCAGTTTGGGGGGGCTCAGATGCAGCCTCCCAGAGAAGGGGACAGCGGAGTAAGGGCTGGCAGGCAGGGGCTCAGGCTGTTCAAGTTCGGTCCCTGTCAGCTCTGAAGCGACTCCTGAGTGCCAAGCCAGGAGCAGCCCCAGAACATTCCAAAACCAAAATAACAGAAATTAAGAGGAAAAAGAGGCCAGTGAGAGCACATGGGGTTAAGCTTCTGCCTCACATGTGGCCGGTCCTGGTTTAACCCCTGACACTGTGTGGTGTCCCCAGGCTCCATGAGTATAACCCCTGAGCAAAGCCAGGAGGAAGCCCTGAGCACTGCATGACATGCCCTACCTTCCTGTCCCCCTCTCCCCCCAAAAAGGGAAAATTGTGTGCTGCTCGCATCCCCAGGTGTGGTGGTCTGTTTCAGCAGCCCCGGCTGACACCGCCGCTTCCTGCAGCCTGGGGTCAGGCCTTTGGACGATCGTCTGCATTGGGCAGTGCTGTGCCTCCTGCCCCGTGCTGGCCGGGCTGCCGCTACGGGTCCAGCGCATCCTCACATGTCCTCACGCAGCTTCTCTGCCTCATGATCATGCTTCCTCCAAGTGCCCGTCCTGCCATGGCCCCCATTCATGCAGTTTCCACTTGTGCCCCTGGAACCACGGGTTCTGACTGAGGAATGCAGCACCCACAGGAGGCCTGCTGCCCTGACCCACAGCTCTGGCCAAGAGAGACCGGCGCTCCCTCAGCCTGTCTTTGTGGAGCCCTTGCCCCGTGGGTTCCAGGGTGTGTTCCCAGGCCTCCGCAACAGCCCGTACCAGAAGGTCTGGGTGGCTACAACTCACAGCTACAGCAGCCATGCCCCAAATGGTTCCCAGTCTCAGTTCAAAGCACAGATGTCCCACAAATGGCGTCTGATGGCCTCAGAGGGCAGCGGGTGCTGGGCAGAGGGCTTGCTTGCCCCAGGGTTGGTGTCTTGGCTGAGGGGGACAAGGCCGTGGCTCTGGGTCCTGTAAGCTTTCCCTGGAGTTTGCTCCTTTTGTCAGAGGGTGACCCACATAAGCACTTGAACGCCAGGAGGTAGAATTGCTCAGGCCTCTGGGCTCAGGGCTCTGAACTCAGGGCCCAACCCTGGGGGAGCTGGACGAGCCTATGTGGAGCCAGGCATGGGGACTGACAGCTCAGGCTTCACTCTGGCCCTGAGGGTTGTCATTCTTACCTGGGGGCGGGGGGGGGGGGGGGGGGGGGGGGCAGGCACACACAGAGACTGTCACGCAGCAAGACCAGATGTGTGTCCTGGCCAGCAGCTGCTGGGCAGAGGTCAGAGAGGGCTTTTAGACCTGCTGTAGATACCTGTGAAGAACCGCATCTTCACTTTTGAAAAAGAGTACCACTTAATTTTATTGTTGTTTTTTGGAGACGTTACTGGGCCCGCTCGAGCAAATCGATGATCAACGGGAGGGCCTTTACTTTACTTTTTGGGCCACACCCGTCAGTGCTCAGGGCTTACTCCTAGCTTTGTGCTCAGAGATCACTTCACCACGTGGAAGACTAAACGAGGTGCTTGGGATTGAACCCTAGTCGGTCCAATCAAAGGCAAATGCAACTACCTGCTTTACTTTAGCTCTGCACCCCAAGAGTTGTGCTTTTTAATGTGGGTGACGCCCTGGCGCAGCGGGTCCTGGTGGTCGTCCTGTGTCAAGGATGGAGCTCAGGGCCTCACCCCCGCCAGGCAGTGCTCTCTCCCTGGCCCTGTTTGCAGTTTGTCTCACCAGCAGAGTCTCTGGATTTCTCTCTCCGTGCCGGCGGCCAGGAGCATCCATCCCTCCTGCCAGTGAGAGGCAGGAGGCAGACTCAAAAGGCAGGACCGGCAATGCGGGCCGGTGAGACCGGCCGCAGTGGCCCCGGCCCGCGGCGGGGACCCGGAGGAGGGGGCTGGCGGGAAGCGGCCGGGGTTGCGCTCGGCATCACGGGGAGGGGGTTGCTGGGACGTCAGGCGGGAGCGAGGATGCACGAGGAGCCCAGGAAACGCGGTGTGTCGGGGCCGGCAAGGGGCAGGGACAGGAGTGGGGAAGCCCTGGCTCCATCCCGGAACCTGCCTCCTACCTGGGGCCAAGGGCCGCGCGGGATCCGGCCTGGGGTCGCCTCCACCTACCCTTCTCTGCTTCCAGGGCTAGGCAGAGACCGCTCAGCACCTTCGCTCCTCCCGGCGAACTCCCAGGACGAGGAAAAACACGGGCCGGGGGGAAAGCCAGGCACGCCCGGGGCCAGGCCACAGGCAGGGCTGGGGTACGAGGCAACCCGGTAGAGTCCGGCGGGAACTCCCGAGGGGCGGGGCCCGGCTTCCGCGGTGGGCGAGGAGGCGCTCCTCGGGGGGGGGGGGGGGGGGCGGGCGCGGACCAAATTTATGCAGTGGGCGGGGCTCCCCATGTGGGCGTGCCCAGGCGCAGCGGTGGGTGGGGCCGGGCTCACAGGTAAACAGCCCCGAACTGAACGCAGGTGAGTGGGCGTGGCTTCTGCGTGCCGTGGCCACACGAGGGCGGGGACTGACTTACTGGACGGGGCCGGACTGTCCACTGGGAACTGCCCTGGGGCCGCGGGGGACTGTCCAGGGGCTGACCGCGCGGGGCAGGCCTGTCTGCGAGGGGCTGACCGCTCGGGGCGGGGAGGGGCGGGGCTTCCCGCGAGGGACTGTCGGCGGGGCGCTGGCCTCGGGGCGGGGCCGGCTGACCGCGGGGGCGGCCCCGGGGGCTGTCCGGGGCTCACCGCGCGGGGCGGGGCGGGGCGGGCGGCCGCCGGAGTTCCGGGAGGGCTAGCGCGGAAGTCGCGGGCGGCCTGGGCGCCGGGCGCTCGGCCATGTCGTCGGGGGACGCGGGGTCCTGCGGGCCGGAGGGGACCCAGCGCGCGGCCGCCGCGCTCTGCGGCCTGTACCGCGAGGCCGGCCAGCGGCTGCGGCTCGTCCAGGAGCAGCTGGCGGCCCGCGACGGGCTGGTGGAGCGCCTGCGCGCCCGCCTGGCCGCGCTCGAGGGGGACGCGGCACCGTCGCTGGTGGACGCGCTCCTGGAGCAGGTGGCGCGGCTCCGGGAGCAGCTGCGGGAGCGGGAGAGCGGGGCCGCCGAGGCCGAGCTGCGCCAGGTGCGTGTGCGCGCGGGGCGTCGAGGTTCCGGGCCCAGCCCACGAGACGCCGCGTTGCGAGGTGTTAGATCTCTCCTTCAAGGCCCGCGCTGTCCGCCGAGCGGCGGGAGCCCTGCACTGCCGCGCCGGGGGCTGCCCCCGGGGTTGAGAGGGGCCTCCCGCCTGCTTTTTGTTTAACCGGGTTGTGAGCAGGGGAGGGGCTGGAGAGGAAACGCCCCGCTATCCCGCCGGCCGGCCCTGGTGTCAGCTTCTCATCGGCATTCTTTCAGTTATTACTGAATAGATGTTTGGGGGGCCGTACCTGGCGTTGCTCAGGGCCTGCTCCTGCTCTGTGCACAGGGATCACTCCTGGTGGGGCTCAGAGGACCCTTGGGGTGCTGAGATCTGCTCTTCCACCTTACTGTGACTCTGGCGCCCTCTGTGTCTATTTTCTTTGAAGAAATGGCTATTCAAGGCTTTTGCCCACTTTTCCCCTACAGGAAGTAGGATTTGTTGGAGGGAGGCAGCGCTGAGGCACAGACCCACAGTTACCGTGCAGTGGGACTTCGATTCATATATCCACATCAAACTTGGGGAGGCTCCACTTCATAGAGTCCCTGGAGACCAGGAACTTGATCCTGGCCTTGAGTCCACCCCATCCTCTTCTGTGTTCTGGCTGGTGCCCCTGCAGACCCAGGCCTCAGTCTCCCCAGAGGCTCCTGCTCGGAGCCAGAGCCTGAAGACAGCGAGATGTGAATGTCCACGGGGTAGGACTGTCTCCGTTGGGGCTGCCCATGTCCATTGGCTGGGCTTTGCACTGGCCCTGGAGGCAAGGCACAACCTATGACTGCAGATCTTTGCTCGTGTTCAGCTGGGTTATGCTTGGTTGAGTGCTAAGAATTCACTGTAAGTTCTGGCTATCAGTCTACGCAGATGGAACTTGCAAATGCCTTCTCTCATTGTCTATGTCCCATGTCCCCTCTGCAGCCACTGTCTTGTACATCAGGTCCGTTTCCTCTGTCTGTGCTCCTGGTGTCATGTCCAGAAAACTGTAATGAAATCCAGTACGTTTCTCCTTGAGGTTTGATAATTTTAGATCTCTCTTTTAAGTCCTTGATTCACTTTGTATTATCTCTTTCCTTTTGTTTTGTGGTGCTGGGGACTGAACACAGGCCTTACTGGACCCTTGAATTAACTTTTGTATATGGTGATAAGGGTCCAACTTCATCTTGGTTTTGGGGCCATGTCTGGTGGTGTTCAAGGGCTATTCCTGGCCCAGTGCTCACTTGTCCTTGTGGTGCCAGGCATCAAACCCCAGCTTCCTGTTTATAACGAGTGGTCCTACCACTGAGCTTTCTCCAGTTTTGCAGGTGAATGCCAATTATGCTCAGCACTGTTTGCTGAGACCATAGTCACCAAGAAAAATCACTTTCCAAAGTCATTGCACTCTGCTCTAATTCAGCGCCTCGCAGCCCAGCTCAGCAGCATGAAAGATTCTGCTCCCTCACAGCTCCATCCCCATCTCCTTTGGTTGTTGATGTCACACAATTACATCTTCAAAATTGTGGGGCTGGAGAGATGATAGTACAGTGGGTAAGGATGCTTGCCTTGCATGCAGCTGACCTGGGTTCAATCTCCTATGGTCCCCTGAGCACTGCCAGGAGTGATTCCTGAGCACAGTCATGTGGTCTCAAAGCAAAACCCCCAAATTTCATGTGTTCCAGGGACTGGATAGGTAAGTACAGCAGATAAGGTGCTTGCCTTGCATGCAGTTATCCTGGGTTCGATCCCCAGCATCCCATATGGTCCCTCAAGCACCACCAGGAATAATTTCTGAGTATAGAGTAACCCCTGAGCATTGCCGGGTGTGGTCTCCAAAACAAAAAAAATTATGTGTTACATGAGGGCAGAGAGATCACAGTGGGTAGGGCACTTGCCCACTCCAACTGCCAACTCTAGTTTGATCCCTGGCACCCCATATTGTTTCCTGAGTCCCTTGAAGTGACCCCTGAATGAAGAGCCAAGAGTAAACCCTGAGCACAGTTGGGTGTTGTCCCTGAACCCAAACCAAACACACAGAAGAGGAGAAAAATGCCCCTTTCACCATTTCGGGCAGGTGCTGCTGTCTGAGCAGGGTAGGGCGGTGATACCAGGCGGCCCTGGAGGCTGCAGTGCTCTGGCCCTCTCCGACTTCACATGGCTTTTTTTGTCTGCCTGTTCTTCTGAGGATAGTGACCACTGGTCAGGGTTCATTCGATGACACCGCTAAGGCCTCGGAGTTTCACAGGCCAGCGTGGTATGCACCAGCATGCACTCTGTCCCCTCCTGCCAAGGAGCTGTTGGGACTGCCACGGCCACTGGACCGTGCAGGGCCTGAGGTCTAGATGGACCAGCCCACAAGACGGCCTTGTTGCGAGGTGTCAGGCAGAGCCTGCCTGGTTGAAACCCCCCAGGTTAGTGTAGGAGCAGAAGCCAGTCCCAGCCCCCCACACAGTGACAGGCATCCTGTTCTTCAATCTCTGTGCAGGAAGTTGAGAGACTCAGCCATCGACTGGCCAAGAAGGAGCAGGAGATGGAGCAGCTGCTTGGCCACCCAGCACTGGCAAGCGAGAAGGAGTTGGTGCAGCTGCGGAGGAGCGTGGCAGAGAAGGAGCGGGTACGGGCTGTCAGCCATGTCCTGTGTCGCTCCCTGGCCGATGAGAGCCAGCAGCTGCGGAGGACACTGGCGGCCACCGCCCACATGTGCCAGCACCTGGCCAAGTGCCTGGAGGAGTGCCAAGCCCCACAGGCGGCACCCCGGGAGAGCGGCGCTGAGGTAGGTGCTGGTGCGCAGGTCACTTCCACTCTCAGCCATGGGAGCTGGCCGCCAAGGCCATGTCTGCCCACTGAGGGGTCATTCCTTCCACGACAGGGAGATGGATGAAAAAGGCCATAGAGCCTTTCTGCCCTGCCAGCCAGCACTTGGCAGTGAGTCTCTCAGCTGCGCCTCAGCAGCTGAACTGAGGCTGAGAGCTGCCTCGCTCTGGCAAGTGCTGTCCCTCTAGGGCACAGGTGGCTGGAGATAGGCGTGGGGGGAGGACCTCTTGACACCACTACTGACACTGGCACCCTGGGGCAGCTCCTTCACTGCTCTGGGCCCTTCCGCAACTACATTCACATCTGTACTCACACCTGCTAGTGCACCCACACCCAGGAGCACACCTGCACCCGCACCGAAAAATGCACCTCGTCCCCACTTACACCCACTCCTGCACCCGCACCTGTAGCCGCACTCACACCCACACTCTGGGGACTATGATGTTGGCTCCAGCCCCCGCTGTGGGGGTGGGGGTGGGCTCCTCTTTGTACCTGCCTGGTGCCCTGAATCAGGCACCTGCAGTGTTCCAGGACAGTGGGAGGATGTGACAGGGGGACTGCAGTGAGGGAGACAGCAGGGCACGCTGAGGGGCATAGAAATGGGGAGTGGGGCACGCAGGGCTGGTTCTGTTCCCAGCCCTCCCTTCATCTCCCTCAGCCCCAGGCTCAGTGTTTGCCTCAGTGGGGTGCTGGGGGTCTGGGCTGGGGCGCTTCACTCCCAGGCCCCACCAGGCCCCTGACCCAGCCTCGTGGAGCCTGTGCCCATCCCAGCTGGAAGGTTTTCAAGGGTCAGGGGGCTCTGGCCCACTCACTGGGAGCCCTTTGTGGGCAGTGCATGGGACCCCCCACCCCTTGGAAAGGGTGCTCAGGAGAACAGGGTCTCTGGGAAACGGAAAGGAATGAGGCATGGGGGCAGGCGGTGGGTTATCTCTGGGTTCTGACTCATTGTCCTTCCTCCTGGGGATCTGAAAGCAGCCTCTGGGGCAGCACCCCTTGCCGGTTGGCGGGAGCCTGAGCTGAGTCATGGTGCTCCCCAGCGCTTGCAGATCCAGATTCATATTTTGTCACTGAGGGGAATTCCCAGAAGCAGTGTCACAGGCGCACGGCCAGTCCCGGTCAGACACATCCCACTTGGGACTCTCTGGGCAGGGCCTCACCCTGCTAGACCCACTCTGGGGTGGGGTGTCTATGGCCCTGCGATCCTCAGAGCAAGCTGGGGCTAGGGCCACCTCTGCCCCTCTGACCTCTCCCTGTGTCTCCCACCCACGACTGTTCCCAGTGACCCCGGCCCCTGCACATGCGGTGACACTCGGTGACTGACTCTGTCTGCTAACTCCTCTTCCCGTAGTCCGAGAGTCCAGGCCGGGCCGCCGTCCAGGCCGCCACGGTGAAGCTGCAGGAGGAGAACCGCCTTTTGAAAGAGAAGGTGGCACACGTGAGTGTTCCAGCCGCCTCACCACCCACTCGCTGTCCCCTGGAGCTGCAGCAGGCCGGCCAGTGGGCTGCTGTCAGGCACTCCCACAGCACATGTTGGGGATGCGTGCTCTCTCGCTGAGCCACTTCACGACTGGGTCAGCGCGAGCACTGGTTCCAGCCTCATGTGCGGACCGGCCCGCAGGTGGAGGACCTCAACGCCAAGTGGCAGCGCTATGACGCCAGCAGGGACGAGTACGTGAGGGGACTGCAGGCCCAGCTGCGGGGGCTGCAGGTGCCCGCAGAGCCCGAGAGGCCCTCGACGTGTGAGCGGATGAGGAAGGAGATCGCCCGGCTCAACGGGCAGCTGGAGGAGAAGATGCTCACCTGTGCGGAAGTCAAGCAGGAGTTGCTGGCCGCGCGCAGTGCCTGGGATGCCGCGCTGGAGCGGGTGCAGATGCTGGAGCAGCAGGTGCGGCGCCCTGGGCAGCCCCTGACCTGTGGGGAGCATGTGGGCAGGGTCTCTGCTCTGGGCTGGAGCGGGGCTTGGCTCAGGGATGGGGGCGGGGCCTGGCTCAAGAGTGGGCGGGGCCTCTGCGCAGAGCTGGGGCGGAGCTCGGCTCGGGGCTAGGGACGGGGCTCGGGCTCAGGGCTAGGGGCGGGGCCTCTGCTCAGGGCTGGGGCGGGGCCTCTGCTCAAGGCTGCGGGTGGGGCCTCTGCCCAGGGCTTGTGGGTGGGGTGGCGGGGCGGGGCTTCTCCCGCAGCGAAAGGTGCAGGTGCGACGCCTCCTCTGCAGATTCTCGCCTACAAGGAGGACTTTGCCTGGGAAAGGGCGGACCGCGAGCGGGCGCAGAGCAGAGTGCAGGAGCTGGAGGAGAAGCTGGCCTGTTTGCAGCAGGCCGGGAGACAGGTGTGGAGCTGCACGTGTTGAAGATTCGTTTCCCTGAGCGGGTCCCCCCTGGTGGTGCTGGGGTATGCTGGCTGTTTGGGGCTTCAGAGCACGGGCTCCCTGTGAGTCACTTCCCAGCATCCCGTTGGTTTCTTCTGGCAGGGACGGGGCAGCTGGCAGTGCTCAGGGTTTACTGCTGACAGGCTTGGGGGACTAAATGTGGTGCCAGGGATTCAGATGGGTCAACCTCATGCAGGGCAAGCACCTAACCCACTGTAGCAGCTCTCTAGCCCAATCCTTGGCCTTATGGAAGCCTTCCCGGTGCCTGTCCCCTATGCTCCAGAGGGACCTGACACGTCTCTGAGATGTGAAAGCCAAGTGTCGAGAGGGGCCCGAGGTTGCTGGAGGGAGAGCAGGACCCTATCCCCAAGCATATCCCAAGCCCATAAAACAGAGGGGTCCTCTGAAGGAGGTGGAGAAGCCCTGCCCTAGGCCAGTGCTGTCCTGCCTGCCAAGGGAGTACCTGACTTGAGTTGGAATGTAGGCGATTTCTCCCAGGTGGCTTTGGGCTGTGGCCTGAAATAGACATGCTGCCTTTATCACTACCCCTGGGGGGGGCCACAGTGCCCTGTCCTGCGTGGGGTGCACCACCCCAAGCCCACAGTGGGTCTGGCCTTGTGTACTGTGCCCGCAGCAAGGGGTTAGGTAGGGTCCGTCTGACCAGGTGTGGCGTACCATGTACCATGTCCCTTCAGAGCACATACTCCTGCCCCCATCCACCCATGCACGTGGTGGCCTGCCTGGATTACCACATGTGTGATGTGGGGTAAGGCTGGTCCAGGTCCCTAGGGGACTGAAGGTGGGGATGGCGACCCTGGCACAGAAGGAACCGGGCTTGGCGTGGGGTGTGACCTACTCTTGAGATGTGGCAGCTGCCACCCTGTGGGTAAAGGGGTAGGGCAGGGGTGCTGGGTCTGGTCAGACCTTAGTTATGGCCAGGGGTTGTGCTGGAGTGTGCCCCTCATGTGGGCCCTGGCCAGGGAAGTGAGGCAGTGCCTAGGTGCTCTCGGTCCTAGAATGCAGTGCCGTCACCAGAGTCTCCGTGGCACTGAGCCCTTCCCTGAACCCTCTCCCTTACAGGGGCCCCTTGAGCCAGCATTCTGCTGGACCCACGCAGCCAACAGCAGCCCTGAGGCCTTGGAGCGTGCTGTGTCCAGTGACTGGAGGTCCGGGGATGGGGCCTGCAGGCAAGAGCCCCCTGGCATGCCCCTGGGGGACCTGCAGTGTCCTCACTGCCTGCAGTGCTTCAGCGACGAGCAAGGCGAGGAGCTCTTCAGACACGTGCGCCAGTGCTGCCAGTGAGGGGCACCAATGTCCCTTCATGCAGGCTCTTGGGGCAGCAGAACCAGCCAGGCTCCAGGGGGCCTGAGTAGAGCCAGAGGGTGAGGCCGAGAGGCGCTTACAGCAGCTCGCGGGGGAGGATCCTCTGACCCTGCCTGGCCCAGTGTGTGCTAGGGCACAAAGCTGGCTGGCAGGAAGGCTGCCTGGGTGAGGCCCCATCTGTCCCCAGCACCGGCTGGTCCTTGGTGTGGCAGGGCCTCTGTGCCAGGCATGTGCTCCAGCCCATTCAGTCCCCACAGCCACAGTGTCCTGCAGTGTTGGCTGCCCACCAACTGGAGGCGAAGCCCCTTCCCTTCCCTGCGTGTTTTCTCTTTTTTCGGCTTTTTGGGTCACACCTAGCAATGCTCAAGGGTTACTCCTGGTTCTACACTCAGGAATGACTCGTGGCAGTGCTCAGGGGACCATAGGGGATTCCGGGGATCGAACCCAGGTTGACTTTGTGCACGGCAAATGCCCTCCCCACTGTGCTATCGCTCCGACCCTGCGTGTTTTCTTAATAAAGCACTAGTGATGGTCAGTGTTCTGAGCTGCTTGAGAAGTGTGGGTCAGGCAGCTGGATCCTTGGTCGGACAGCTGGTGACAGCTGATGCAGCACAGGCCAGTGGGCACGGGGCCCGGTCTAAGTCTCGACAGTTTAGGGCGGGCTGGGGCCTGCCAGCTTCAGTGCAGCGAGGAGACACAGGGCTAAGGGACACTGAGCACAGTGTCCGGCTCTAGCCACATTCCTGGCTGCATGCTGCTGCTTCTGTCCCACGTAGCCACTTAGCACATACCCTGAATGTCACATCTTCCTCCCCAAGTTGGATTTCAGGGTCACCTCTTATGTCGTTCCTCTCTGAAATCTGGGAAATTCCTATTTCTTCAGGGGCGACCCAGTGCTGGGGGCACTGCAGCCCCAGGGCCTCTGTGCCAGGCATGTGCTCCAGCCCTTCTTATCTGCAGGACCCCTGAGCAAAGTCCACAGCCCAGAAAGAAGGGACCCCAGGACCTGGAGGTTTCAGGTGGAAGGGCTGTCCTGTACCCTGAGGGACAGTGGGGAAAGGTGTTGGCCTTCCACATGGCTGCCTCTGCTTGAGTCCCACCCAGGGGCGGCCAGCAGCCGGCACATGCCTGCCTGTAGGGACAGGGCCAGCTTGCTGGACGGCAGCAGAGGTGGGGCCCTTGGCTGGGATGCTGCCTGCTCTGGATGAGAAGGAAGACAGACTAAGGCAGCTCCAAACATGAGGAACACAGACCTCCAAAGAAACAGCTAAGCCAAAACTGTCTGGTCCTGGGTAAAGGAAAAAAAACAGCGCCGAGGTTGCTAACTATGCATGACCATGGGCTTTAACCGTATATCTTGGGGTTCACATGTAAACATGGGCTTATCAAAAAGGCTGGAGCGATAGCACAGCGGGTAGGATGTTTGCCTTGCACGTAGCCAACATGGCCAACCCGGGTTCGATTCCTCCGCCCCTCTCGCAGAGCCCGGCAAGCTACCGAGAGTATCTCGCCTGCATGGCAAAGCCTGGCAAGCTCCCCGTGATGTATTCGACATGCCAAAAACAGTAACAAGTCTCACAATTTGTTGTGAGACGTTACTGGTGCCCTCTTGAGCAAATGGATGAACAACGGGAGGACAGTGCTACAGTTCTATCAAAAAGGGAATGTTCAATGAAGTCATGAAACTTAGCACTGTGAAGCGCGACCCCGAGGTAATGTAAGCAGCTGGTTAGAATGTCTCTCAGATTCTCTAGACACAGATATGTAGTGGAGATACTTCATTGAAAACAGAACCCGAAACAGAAATGCTTACTTACCTAAGAGAAGGAATGTAGAACAGGTGATAAGATGCTCACCTGACTGGAGGAAAATAGTCTCTGCAGTAGTCACAGACAACAACACAGAAAGGACCACCAGTGGCTCCTAGGCTACTCCTGGTCAGCAGAGGGCACAGTGTTGGGGATCGAGCCTGGCCTTGTGCAAAACATGTACTCAGCCTACCAAGCTCTCTTCAGCCTGACAAAGTGAACTTCTAAGACAGAAATTATTAGTACTTGGGCGAGGGAGATGGCTCAATGGGTGGGGTGCGTGCTCTATGCAGGTCCCAGTCCATCACCTGGCACCGTGCGGTTCACAAGTGTCAGGAACAACCCCTGAAACCACAGGTGTGATGCAAAACTACACAGCGGTACGTGGGATCATGGTTAAGGCACTTACCTTGCACACAGCTGACCCTGGTTCAGTTCCCAGCAATGCATATGGTCTCCTGAGCACAGAACCAAGAATAAGATGTGAGCTCTGCTAAAAGCAGCCCCAAGCAAATTCAATAGAAATTACCATGTTGGCCATGTTGGCTACGTGCAATAGAAATTCGATAGAAATTCTGGAGCTGGCTTTGTGCCTGGGCTTCTGGGGCTCTGGGCACCGGGTCAGCTGTGTGCAAGGCAAGGGCCCTACCTGCCGTACTGTTGTTCTGGTCCCTGCAGCAGTCTCGATTACTGCTTTGTAGTAAATTTTCTTTTATCTTTTGGGCCATATTTGGTTTTGCTTGGATGGGGGTGGGGTCGGTTGGAGATTCTATTCTAGGCAGCTTGGGGGTTACACCCCACAGTTCTTGGGACTGATACTGGGCCTCCCACATAAAAAGCATACATTCAGCCCACTGAACTCTCCTGCCCTCTAGTGATTTTTTTTTACTAAGACTTTTTCTTTTCCTTTTTATTTTTTGTATTTGGGCCACACCTGACAGTGCTTAGCTACCGCAGCTGCCCCAAGAATGATCTTGGCATGCAAGGCAGGCTCCTCCTCCCCTGTACTATTTAAACCTCGTGGCAGGTTTTGAAGCCAAGAAGTGTTTTTTCTTGCCTTGGATGAGCTGAGTAGCATTGGTCCTTGACACTCATGAGTTCTAGATCGGTATTGATGTCCAGATGCAGCCAGGGGAAGGATGGTGTTGATTCGCAGATCTGTTTATAATCACAAAATGTTGGTGGTTGGGTGGTTTTTTTTATTGGCTTTCTTTTTTTGGGGGGGTCACAACTGGCAATGCTCAGGAACTCCTGACTCTGCACTCAGGAACCCCTGTATTTGTGGGACCATAAGGGAAAGGGATGCCAGGGATTGAACCTGGGTCAGCTGCGTGCAAGGCAAATGGCCTGTCTGCTGTACTATCGCTCTGGTCCCTATTCTGGATTATTTGAGGGCTTTAATTTGTTGAATAGTGTAACTCCTGAGTACTGACAGTGTGGCCCCAAAACAAAAGCAACAGAAAATGCTTGGTGTTGATCTATATTCAATTCAGCTTTTGGTGTATGTGTCTGTGGCTGTGGGCTACCTCGTCATGCTATAGGGTCTCTTGGTGTTTCTTCTGTCCTTTTTTTTTTCTTTTGGGTCACACCTGGTGATGCTCAGGGGTTACTCCTGGTTCATGCACTCAGGAACTACTCCTGGCTGTGCTCAGGGGACCATATGGCATGCTGGGGATCGAACCTGGGTCGGGCTGCGTACAAGGCAAATGCCCTACCCGCTGTGCTATCACTCCAGCCCCTCTTCTGCCATTTCTTTCCAGCATAGCTATCTGTGGATGGTGGGAGAGGGGCTCTTGCTGTTTTTTTCCCAAGAGAATATAGCCGACCACCACAGTACGGAGATGGACAGGCAATGGTAACACTTAGTATTTTTTAATTTTTGAGTCACTCTGGTAGTGCCTTAATCATAACTGTGCTCAGGGATCACTCCTGGTGGACCATCTGGAGGAAGATGAAACCCATTGGTGTATGCAAGACCAGGGTCCTGCCCACTGCACCGCCCACTGCACCCTCTCTCCAACCCATTCAGTATTTCTGCGGCCAGTAGATGGTGCCCAAGCTTAATCAAGATTGGGGCCAGAGTGGGGAGGGCCTTTCTCTTGTACGCAGCTCACTTGGGTTCCAAATCTAGCATCCCATAGTAGTAGTTCCTTAGTGCAGTCAGGAGTAAACCCTGAGCATCGCTAGGTGTGACCCAAAAGGGGGGGGGGGGTGAAGTTTAATCAAGATTCAGGAACAAATGCCCAATGAAATAAAGAAGTCAAATTAAATCTCCATCTTGCCTGGACATGTGCCCATTAGTGGCATGCAGATTTGGGGTTGGGTTGGGAAAGAGGGGAGAAATGGAGAAGAGATCAAATTGCAATCCGACTCCCCTCCACCCTGTTTTTTGTGACTTAATCAGCTGCCTTCTGGAGTCGGATATACCCTGGATACAGATGCTGCATCTTGCACCCTGGCCTAACTTGACTCTGATTGCTTTAGTGGGTTCCTTTAAACAAGTTCCCACCTGCAGACATGAACGGTTTTCTTTCTTCCTTTCCAATTTGGGATACATTTTGTTTTTCCTAGTTAGAAACTCCTACTCACTGTGGGGTAAAAACTGCAAGACTAGACACAGCTCACTTATCTTATGGGGAAAGCATTCAGTCACATACTCATGAGACTGGCTACAAGGCTTGAAGACTCCCAAGGAAAAGACACGTAAGGGTCTGGGATCTCATGTAGCTTCACAACATGTCTTTGGTGTGCTTCCCAGTACCAGCAGCGCCCCATCCCATTTTTTTCCCCTGGGTCGCACCCAGTGATGCTCAGGGCTTACTCCAAGGTTTGTGGTCTCAGGGATGGGCCCGAATTGGCCACGTGCAAGGTGAGCCTGTACCAGCTGTACTATTGCTCTGGCCCCTCAGCGAGCCTGTTTTATCAGTGTTTTGACTGGGGTGCAAAAGACCCTCTTTGGGTAGGACAGTCATTTTGGCAACGTGGATTATTTTTTTTTTACCTAGGATCATGGGGTAAATTCGTGAAGCGTTCCATAATTTTACCCGAAGAGAAAACAAAACAAAAAAAACCCCCAAGCACCCCAAACTCGTTTCTTTTTTGCCAATCTTGGGAGTCCGACGAAGGAAGTCAACTCAGCATCCTTCTCATTTAGTATCATTTTAGACTACTTATGGATCAGTTGGGCTGGAGCGATAGCAAAGTGGGTAGGGTGTTTGCCCTGCATGCAGCCAACCTGGGTTTGATTTTTCTGCCCCTCTCGGAGAGCCCGGCAAGCTACTGATAGTATCCCGCCCAGATGGCAAAGCCTGGCAAGCTCCCTGTGAAGTATTCAATATGCCAAAAACAGTAACAAGTCTCACAATGGAGATGTTACTGGTGCCCACATGAGCAAATCAACGAACAATGGGACGACAGTGACAGTGCAGGAGCACGCGGTAATTTTACATTGCCTGTTGTTTCTGGGTCACACCCAGAGGTGTTCAGGGGACAATATGGGGGCTGCTGGGACCGAACCTGGGTCTGCTGCATGCAAGGCCAGCACTGTAAGCCCTGTATTATTCCTCTGGCCCTCCGTCTGAAGCTGTTGGCGACATTTCCAACGTGAGTGTTCCCCAGTCCCACAGGGGAGCGCTGACGGTCTAATGCCCAAGGCACAGAAGTGGAGCCTGACACTTTCCTCACTCCGCCTAGAGGTTCCCAGGGACCTCCTGGTGCTGCCATTGCATGGTGTGCCTCGGCGCAGTGCTCCTACTCTGCTGGGCAGTGGATGTGCTGTTCTTGGTTGTTTCCACATAGAAAGTATTTGTTTTGGGGCCGTAACTCTTGGTCTTGTTCCCTCCTCCACTCAGCAAATCCACGAGATCATGACCTGCAAGCCTCTCAGGTGCCTTTTTTTTCCCCTCATTTTTTTTTTCTTTTTGAACTTTCAGTTGTGCCAGGATATGCTCAGGGCAGTGGTGCTGGGAATCAAACCCAGGGCCTCACACATGCGAGTGCTCTGCATCTAGGCTCCTCACTTTGGTTTTCTTTTTGCTTTTTGGGTCACACTTGGCGAGGCTCAGGGGTTAGTCCTGGCTCTGCACTCAGGAATTATTTCTGGAGGTGCTCAGGGGACCATATGGGATGCCGGGGATCGAACCTGGGTGGCCTCAGTGAAAGGCAAACACCCTACCTGCTGTGCTATCACTCCAGGTCCCCTCACTTTTTAAAAAGCATTTCCCAAACTTGGGAGCCAACTGGTGGCAGTGTGCGTGAGGGAAATAACACCCATCTGTGGCTGTCCCTGTGTGCACTGCGGAAGGGGGTGCACTGCAGCTGACATTGGGGCCCTGCACTCAGATCCCCAGGTCATGCCTGGCTACTCTGGAGGCTCAGAGCCCTCCACCACACGCTGAGTTTTGGGACCTGGCTGCTTCCTTTCATCTGTGCAAAGTGAGGTGCCGAGAGGAAAGCGGTACGAGGGGACCGGGTGTCCTCAACACGTGTACCACACCCACATTGCAGCTGGAACCCTGCAGTTGTCTCAGCGACTGTGTGGTGTGAAGGGACAAAGGAGTGGAGGCTCCATGAGCTGGTGTGTGGACCCTGGCCAGAGAGGAGTGGCAGGGCTCCCTCTGCCACATGTAACCACTTGGAACAACAAAGCTGGTCAGCAGCGCCCGGTACCCCAGCTCTGGGCCCCCGACACCCACCTTCCTCCTTTCTCAGAACTGGCTTCCCTGGGTCGAGGAGGGTCAGTGTGAGGGTGCCCCACCCCTTCCCAGTCTGGCTGAGACCCACACTTTCCGCACCGGCTCCCCATGGCCATGTAGGTCATTTGTTCCACTTTCGTCTTGGGGTCACATCACATCTGGCAATGCTCAGGGCTTATGCCTGGCCCTGCACTCAGGAATCACTCCTGGCGGTGCTCAGATAATCATATGGGATCCCAGCTGTGTGCAAGGCAAATGCCCTCCCCATTGGACTCTCACTCCAGCCCCATTCAACGAGGTCTGTCCATGAACAGCCATCACAAGTTCTGTCCTATGCCGGGCTCAGCCTCGAGTGTCCAGGCACCTTCTCCTACCTGCTCCTTGGCCAGCACCCCAACTCCTCACAGCACACACAGGACAGCCCCCCCGGGGGCACAGGGCAGTGGGAGTGATGAAGTGACGAGGAGTAGACACCAGAGTAGCCCGCAGCAGCCTTGCCAGGCAGGGCTTCCAGCGGTCCCAGTGACACCCCCTCTGGTGGACTGCTCGCCCTGGCCGGTTTCCACCCATGGCCCCACCCAAATGGGCTCTGGATGACTAGGCCCCATGGGGCTCTGCCCTCCTCAACCCAGAGGTCTGAATGCAGTGCACAGATCCTGTCAGCATCTGCGTGGCACAGGGAATACAGGACACGGACAAACTGCTCTGTGGAGGATGGTGAGGTCACAGGAACCCTAAGGCACTTCCTTGGGGCAATCAGGAAAGGCTCAGGGTGACGCCCTGGTCCCCCCCCCCCCCCCCCCCGCTCCCCAACCACCCCAGCTTCACCCAGCAGAGAGCAGCCACACCAGATCTTCTGCTGTACTAATGTATTCCATCTTTCAAAAAGAAAGACATGATTTTAATATTACTTAACAATATGTTAAAAAAGTAGCCAGGCAGGCCTCCGTGTTAATCCAGTCGGACACTCTGACAGACTCGATGGTGAGTACTTGGGGCTTCTGTTTTTGAACTTTCTCTTTCTGCAGGGGTCTTACACAAGCTGGCTACAAGTCGGGGGGGGGGGGGGGGAGTCAGACACAAACAGCGCAATGTGGACATTCTGAACAGTAGATTGTGGAGGAGAACGGAAGCGCACCTGCCCTGCTGGCCCGCCTCGGGGGACGCGGGGCACACGAGAGCTGAGTGACAGCAACACCCTGGCAGGGACAGATGATGGGACAGGGCGAGTGCAGAGCGACGGCCGCGTGGATGGTGCCCAGGCTCGGGGGCCGCGTGCTGGAAGAACGAGCAGGCTGCTGCCCCGGGCCTACAGCACAGAGCTACACCGAAGAAATCTCACGCACAGACTACACGCACACGAGCTGACGGCGCGGGGCCAACGACAGGGCTGGGCGAGTCCACCCGCACACGCCTGGGGCCTGGCCCTCCACCCTCAAGTCCCTCTCCTGTGGTCCTCACTCAGTGGGCAGCAAACGTGGCTTTTTTCAAGCTAAAATTGGACCAATTGATAGACAGTCTTTGTCGGGTCTGTCTCGCGGAGTCCAAGCAGAACCTGCAAAGACAGAAAGTCAAACGTGATGGAAGGAAACACTGACACGGCCACGCTGAGGCCGTCTCAGGGCTGTCACGGGCAGGACCTTGATCCAGCAGCAGCAGACGAGCAGTTTCTCTCCCCGTCAAGCTCTGCCCCCGGCCCAGCCCGGCAGCCCTTCCACCCTCAGCTGCCTGAAAAAGCACCTGCTATGTCTGCTGCGCCTCAGATAACCACAGCCAACTCTGACAGGAAACGAAGCCGGAAAACCTTTCCTCTGAAAAACCTTTAACTGGCTTCGTTTTTGAAATTCCCATCTTCTTAGCGGTCATTTGGGTAGCAGAAAAATGCAGATTAGACTTGGAAATGAGCACTGTCACCTCGCCCATGGGTGAACTTGCACATGTCCTCAGAAACTGGCGGGCTGACCAACTGGCGGGCTGGACTGCAGGGCCGGGGAAGCTCTTGCTAGGCTGCCTGCTCTGCAGGCAGAAGCTCCAGGACACCCCACCCACGGGCCCCCTCAAGCAAGAACCGAAACAATAAACCTGCTGCAGTTTTTGGTTTGTTTTTGGGCCACACTGGGCTGTGCTCAGGGCTTACTCCTGGCTCTGTACTCTGCACTCTTGCTGATGCAAAGGGGACCACATGGGATGCAGGGATCAAACCTGTGTAGGTCATGCGCAAGGCAAGTACCCACCCTGCCGTGCTATCTCTCAGGCCCTCATTTTTAATGCTAATATTTTGTTGATTTTTGCTTCTGATCTTCAAATCAGTAACCTTCCCTTTTCTCCCAGTACTTTTGGGGGCAGATTTTGGCATGAAAATTTCACTTGTTTCATAAAACGAAACATGGAGGGCACTCTGTTTTCTGGGAGATTTTGTTCAAGACAACATAATCTGTTCCCGGAAGTTTGAGAAGTTCTCTAGAAATGTCAGAATGTGGTTTTCTCAGAAGACACAGCTACTGCCTTTGGTTGTTGCAGTTTCGGGCCACACCTGGCAGTGCTCATGGCTCACTCCTGGAGGGCTTCAGGGAGTACATGCACGCGGGGGACTGAACTTGGGTCGGCTGCATGCAAGGCAGGTGCCCTACCCCATGGTACTACTGCCTCGGCCCCTCTTTCGTAAGCTTGCAAACAATTTTCGGCTTTGCCGAGCTTCTGTATTTTTGTTTCCCTTTTCACTGTTTCACATATATTTATTCAATTTTTCATTTTTTGGGGCTTTTGTTTCATAATTTTAAAAAATCAGGAAAAAAATTTTGGCAACATCTTGCAGTCTTTAGGGCTTATTCCTGGCTGCTTTCAGGGACTTAGGGGACCAATGGGGTGCTGAAGGTTTAAGCCCAGGTCAGCCGTGTGCAAGGCGAACAAAGCACCTTACCTGCTGTACTACTGCTCCTGTCCTGTTTTCCTAATTTCTCTCTTTTTTTTTGGTGTTTGTGTGTGTGGGGGTGGTCCCCACATGCGACAATGATGAGGGGTTACTCCTGGCTTTGCATTCAGATTATTCCTGGAGGTGCTCAGGGGACCCAATGAGACACCAGGGATTAAACCCAGGTTGGCTGTGTGCGAGTCAAGTGCCCCTTTCTGCTGTACTAATTCTCTGGTCCTGGTTTCTTTTCTTTCCTTTCTTCCTTTTTTTTGCTTTTTGGGTCACTCCCGGTGATGCTCAGGGGTTACTCCTGGCTCTGCACTCAGGGATTACTCCTGGCAGTGCTCAGGGGACCATATGGGATGCTGGGAATCGAACCCGGGTTGGCTGCGTGCAAGGCAAACGCCCTACCCGCTGTGCTATCACTCCAGCCCCAGGTCCTGTTTTCTTAATTTTTCAAATGAAAAACCTGAACTTAGTAGTCTTCTGGGATTTGGTAACTAACTCAAGCATTCGAGACTTTGGGGAAAGCCCTAGAGAGTACCACAGCATGCAGCTCCTTGATTTCTTCCACTGAGTTTCACGATCCCTTAGTTCTGTACCACTTGAAGCCAGGAGTGAGTTGGACCCGCGCAGAGTCAGCACTCTGTATCTGTGTCGCAGACCCCTGGCAGCCAAGTCTGTGCTAGCAGACACCTGGGTGGGCATATCGTGCACCACAGCAGGACAACCATACAGAGCATCGGACATAGGACACACCACAGGCTGAGCTGTTGAGTCTGCCCATATGCGGCCTGTCCCCAAACACAGTTGGGTAGGTTGGGCTGTTAAGCGACTTGGACATCAAGGAACAGCTCCCCTAGATGTGCAGACTCAGGGACCTGACATACAAGTGCTCCAGGTGCTCCCCACCTGCTAGAGACCAGCTGTGCACACACGAGCGTGGGGAAGAAAATGAGTGAGGGGCTGTAGCAGGAGGTGAAGGTGTGGAGGGCAGGGGAGGCCCGAGGCCACGGTGTTGGCCCGTGATGTCGCTGCCCCATCAGAGACAGTGGCAGCACTCACCTTTTGAAATACTCCACTTCCCTCTCGGTCTCATCCATGTCCACACTTTCCAGATCGATATCCTTCGGCAGGAAGACGTCGTCTGTGAACAGAGAAGAGGCGAGTGGAAGCAGCAGGCTTTCTTCCCAGAACACGTGCACCACTGGGTCTTACCCAGCTTCAACAACTTCCCCCACACAACTGTTTCTCTAGCAGGATCTGAGCAGGAGGGAGTCGCCCTGCATGCAGCTGACCTGGGTCTGACTCCCAGAGCCCTACCAGGAGTCCGCCCTAAGCACTGCTGGGTGTGACCCCTAAACAACAACACAGCTCAAATCTGAGATTTGAATGGCCGAGGGGAGGAGTTGCGGCTCAGTGTGGAGATGGGGGGTGGGGGAGGGGGTGGGGGGGAGGGCCCTGGGCAGAGCCCTGGTCCCCAGAACCAGGCATGTTCACCCTCCCAAGTGAAGCCAGAGGAGGGGCGCAGAGGACTGGTGCTAACCCTGCTCCGTGTGCAGCCTCAGGGGAAGATGAGCTTCCTGAAGCTCATCTCCCTCCCAGCGCACTCTGAGCCCCAGAGCTGAATAGATCTGCTGACTCCTTTGGCCCGTCAGGCTCTGGCACCAGGGCACAGCCTCACTCTGAAGACCTCCCTGAGCCCCCTGGCCAGCAAGGCCAGCTCCAGTTCCCCAGGTCTGGTATTTCTCCCCTATTCCTGTGGTTTCCAGGACCCAACACCCTCACACCTGCATGTCCTCCCTCCATCTGCCGCCTTCATGCATAGCACTGGTGGCAAACCTGCTTTTTTACACATGACCCTCATGAACCCTTGCCCTCCCCCGGCTCTCATGTCAGGGAAGGTCTTGGTGACCACCTGGAGCACACCCCCCTCTAAACAGGCTCCCGGGCCCTCGATTCCAGCTCGGTCCAGCCTGAATGATCTCTCCTCATGGCAGTCATCCTGCAGGCTGACCTCCGTGCCCAGCCTAAGTTCCTGGCAGCTGCAGGGCACCAACTTGGGGGACTGATGTGGGGCAGCGGGCTGAGAGAAAAAAGCGGGTGTGAGGAGGCAGGTCTCTGTGCTGGCTCCATGCTCACTGACACCAGAAGAATTGGAGTGAGCCTCTTCGAAGCAGGAAGGGCAGACAGACCAAACTGAACCAGACGCAGTGCCAGTGGCCCGGGCACTCACCACTGCCATGGCCCCATCTCGGGCGCGGGAGGAGGGTAGACAACAAAGGGACTGCCAGACTCCGGAGTCAGTCAGCTTCCTGAAGCTCATCTCCCTCCCAGAGCCCAACTCGCAGCCACACTCCAGGGACGGGGGGCGTCCCCGGGCTGACATGCCCATACCCCGCTGACGGCGCTCCACAACAGGAGTCAGAGGACATCTGGGGCAGCAGAAAGCTGGGCAAGGGTGTAGGAAACCTCGGCACAGGAACGAAGCCACAAAGGCTCCCGCAGCCCGAGTTCCTCGGAATTAAAGGACAAAGAAAACATCATGAAGAACACGTCACTGTGTGAGGCAAGTGTGGGCTGCCTGCCGCGCCAGAGAGGGGTCCCTTCAGCCCACAAAGCAAGTCTTGGCCACTAGAAGGGGACAATCCCCACTGCAGACCAGGGCGGATTCAAGCCCAAAGCATCACAGTACAGAGGGGGCTGGAGAGTCAGGACCTTGGGAGGGCACTTTCTTGCACGTGGCCGACCTGTGTCTGCTCCTTGGGACCCCAAAGGGTCCCCTGAGCCCCACCAGGAGCGATCCCTGAGCACTGCTGGGGAAACGTAAAAGCTACCTAAGCAAACTACCTAGCAAATGGGCAGAAACCACTGGGAAATTATTCCTGAAAGAATTCAGAAATGATGAAAACACTGCAAGAAGCTACAAATATTTACTTCTCTTCCTTCTGTTCTTGGTCACACCTGCTGGTGTTCAGGGCTCCGGGAGCAGAACCACACGTGGTCCTCCCGCATGCAAAGCACATGGTCCGGCCCAGCTATGCAAACGGACTCATTTACTGTTGCTTTTACTTGTGGGCCACACGTGCTGGTGCATGGGGGCTACTCCTGGTTCTGTGCTTGGTGGCTGCTCCCCGCATTGTGCAGGGGACCCTGTGGACCAGGGGTTGCACCTGGGCCACCAGGATGCAAAGACTACCCTGCGTGCACTCAGCCCTCGATTGTTCCAATGAATGACTGGAGCAAATGCCCAAGTGCCATTTAAGTGGTTGCGTTAAAAAGAAAAGAAATTGGAGGAAATAGGGGAGCGATAGCGCAGCGGGTAGGGCGTTCGCCTTACACGCGGCCAACATGGCCGACCCGAGTTCGATTCCTCCGCCCCTCTCGGAGAGCCTGGCAAGCTACCGAGAGTATTGGATATGCCAGACACAGTAACAACAAAGTCTCCAATGGAGACGTTACTGGGCCCGCTCGAGCAAATCGACGATCAACGGGAGGGCCTTTACCTTTTTTTTTTAGGGCACTGGTTGTATACATGGCTGATCCCTCCTGGAGCCCCTAACTGCAAACAGACCCTTGAGCACAGAGCCTGGAATAGCCCCTGAGCTCCGGTAGGGGTGACAACAAAATAAGGGAAGGAAAACAGGGGCTGGAGTTTGCTTGCCTTGCACACAGCCAACCTGGGTCCAATTCCCAGCATCTCATATAATCCTCCAAGCACCACAAAGAGTGATCCCTGAGCAGAGTCAGGACTGAGCCCTGAGCATCACCAGGTGTGGCTCCCAAACAAACAAACAAACAAGGGGCTGGAGCGATAGCACAGTGGGTAGGGTGTCTGCATTGCATGCGGCTGACCAGGGTTCGATTCTCAGCATCTCATATGGTCCCCTGAGCACCGCAAGGAGTAATTCCTGAGTGCAGAGCCAGGAGAAACCCCTGTGCATTGCTGGGTGTGAACCAAAAAGCAAAACAAACAAAAAGATACAAATAAATGAAGAAAATTTCTAAATCAAAAAGTTAAAAAAAAAATGAAAAAAAATGACCAACAAAGTAAAAGAGAAGAAAATGCAAGGGGCCTGAAAAAGATAGTACAGGAGTGAGGACGCTTGCCGTGCACACGGCCAACCTTGGTTCAAACCCCCGGCACCACAGATGGTCCCCTGAGCACTGCTGGTTGTGGGGCCTCACACCCCTGCCCCTATTTTGTTTTTTGAGCCAGGCGGTGCTCAGGGCTGACTCCTGGCTCTGTTCTCAGGAATCACTTCTGACAGGGCTCAAGGGGCCACATAGGGTGACAAGGGTGGAACCCAGGTGGACCACATACAAGGCAAAAGCCCTACCCACTGTTCTCTCTCTCCAGTCCCCCAAGCCCTTAAAGGAAACACATGAATAGAAACTAATCAAATCTCATAAATAAGCCAGGGTTCTGATGGTTAAAAATACAAAAATGAAATGGAACAGCAAGGAAGCACAAGCGTACAAAACCAGAAGTGACTGGAGGGAAAGAGCTGCTGGAAAAACTGAAGCGCCTGTCTCTGGGGCTGCAGAGAGAGCACCGCGGGCTGGAGGTGTCGGTTCAAGTCCCGCATCACCTGGCCCCAGACCCTTCCCACAGAAGGACTATGTACATGAGACAGGAAATCTAGGGAAAGGACAGTTCAGTACAGAACGTAGCTTGCCAACCATTTGCAACAAAATACCAAAGAGACCAATTTCCAGAGAGGAAAGAGAATCTCAAGGAGCTACTCCCTTAAAGCATCAGACCAGCACAGCTCAGGAGATGCCAGCAACCTCAGGGCGCAGAGACCCTGCTGAGCGAAACGTCCTTGACTGGGGTTTGCTTTTGCCTTCCTGCCTTTGCCACTGAGAGCTGGGGACCCTCCAGACAGGGCGCTGAGGTGGAGGGCATGCTCTGACGCACACAGCAGCTAAGACTGCCACGGGAGCCTGCTCCAGACTGTCCCGCGAGTGGTCCAGCAATGGCCTGGCTGCCTCCCTGTGTGAGCACAGGTCCCCCCCTGGGGGACGGGAGGGAGGCATCTCACTGCAGAGGTCTGGGAGCCCGCCACCCTGACCTTCCTACCTGCCTCTGGCTGTGCCTTGCTGAAAGCAGGGAGGCGGAGCTTCCGGCAGTGAGAAAAACGTGGGGCCAAGGAGGTAGTAAGCAGGCACTGCAACATCCCTGGACCTCAGCACGGAAATGCTGGCCTCTGCGGGCCGACATTATCACCAGGAGCCAGCCCCATCCCCAACAATAAAATGCACGTGCACCCTGAGGAAACCACTGGGAACCAATCCCGGCCCCGTCTGCACCCGTACACTCGAGCCAGAAAGGAGCAAGGGCTTGGGGGCGGAGAGGCTGCGTGAGGACTCAGGACTGCCAAAGACCAGGCTGCGGCACAAGCACACAGCAGAGCAGTGCTTCGGTCACAAAGCAAGACTGCAACCGACACACAGTAACCGACCAAGGATGGGAACATGTGGGGGAGAGGAAAGCTCTTCTTCGAGGAGACCCCAAGCAGGAAACGACAGAGCGGAGACCAGCACAATCATGACCATTCCAGGTTGTCAAAGGAGCCTGCAAAGGGCGCCCGAGAAAGGCCAGAGACAGGCTCGGCTGCAGCAGACCTCGCTGCCCAGCCTGAAGGTGACGGGGGGCGGAAAAGCGCGGTCCTGCATGGGGGAAGAGCAGAGACCTGCATTGGCCCGGAGCCCTGTCCTTTGGGCCTACTCTACAAGCATCCTGCCCGGGCCAGGCCATCGAGTCTGCAGGAACCCTCCTAGGCTGAGACACTAAGAGGGAGAAACGAGACGCCGTCTCCGGTCAGCTTCAGGGAACCCAACACAAAGAAAACCTTGGTCCTCTTTCTGTAGCTTTTCTGGTAACCCTACAATGATCGCAGCTACGTTAGAGTAACAGGGCGGTGATGAGGCCCCACAGGGCAGAGGAGACCCTGCATTTACCAAGTGAACTGCTGGCTCGGTCTCCTTTCTTCTTTCTGCTTTTCTTGTTCTTGCCCTTGGGCTGAGGGGAGTCTGCCAGCACCAGCTTGTCCCGTGGGTGGTCGCTGGGGCTTGCGGGCTCCGGGGGGACTGCTGCCCTTTCTTCCTTCACGTGGTTCAGCTGCTTCCTGTTACTACTGTTACTGCTGATTTTCCTCTCCTCTCGTCTCTGCTCTGCTGGGGAAGTCAGGTCAGCTTTGGGCTTGGGCTCAGCGTGGGGCCGGGGCCGGGGCTGGCCCTCGGTGGCTCTAGAGGGTTCTGGGGGCTTCCTCCCCAGCTCACTGCCTGTCTTACTGAACTGCTTTAATTTCTGCCTGCCAGCCCCCTCTTTGTGGTGCTGCATGATGTCCAGGAGAAAGGACAGCGGCTCGGGCTGCTTCCCGTTGACCCCCTTGGGCAGCAGAAGCTTGGAGTCTCTGAGGTCTACAGTGTCCCCCTCAGCCCCAGGCCCGGGCCTGGGCTCTGTGTGGTCCGTATGTCTGCAAGGGGGGTGGGACGAGGTTTCCGGTTCTTTGGGCTGCTCCAGGGAGCCATTCGGGATGCTGTCAGAGTTCACGACTGGATCCGGTGTCGTCTGGAAATTCCTAGCAAGGAGAGCCAGCTTGGAACAGTCTTTGCCTGGCCTCTCCTTCTTCTTCTTCTTCGCAGCCCTCAGCTTCTGCAGCCGCTGCAGCTCCTCCTGTAGCCGCTCCTCCTCCTCCTCCTCCTCTTCCTCCTCCTCCTGCCGCTGCCGCTGCAGCAGGTGCTCCCGGGCCCTGGCCTCGGCTTCCAGGCGTGCTTTCTCCTCCAGCTGCCATGAGAGAAAAGGTGACTTAGAATAAGAGTCAGCAGTCCAGAGACGCAGAGGAGCAAGGAAAGGGGAAGAATGAAGCACCTGACAGACAATAAACTCTAAAGAGGCTGCGATAGGCCAAAGTATACAACACCCTACGCTAAATTCTCTGTACAGAATATTTGGAAATGATCTGAGGAAAGCACGGAGTTATTTCTGTGTTGGGGACGGGGGAATGTTCAGTATAAACTTCCTTGAAAGGTGGGTGAGGCAGAGAATGAGGCGTTCCAGCCGCAGCAGTCTGCCGAGTGGGCACAGTGCGCTCTGTGGCAGTCACACGGCTATAACTTGGCCAGAAGTACCCACCGGTCACTACGTTCCAGGTGGGGAGGGAGCAACTGCAGGCCCACCCCAGGGGCTGGAAGAAAGCCACACCTTCCTTCCCCACCTGAGCAGACACTCCTAACTCCCAAGGCATTTCTCCCACTGTGACAGGCAAGGCAAATGGCTTCCTAAAATATTCACTATCGCTGTGCTGAAAACAGTGGGGACCGGGTCAACAGCACCAGCGGGGAGGGCAGTGCTCTGGCATGTGGCTCACCCTGCTTCAATTTCCAGCACCACATACCTGAGCCCCGCCAGGTGTGACCCCTGAGCACAGAGCCAGGAGTATGCCCTGAGCACTGTCAGGTGTGGCTCCCAAACAGAGAGCCCGGAGTATGTAACAAGGATATGTTCTTTAAAAATGGTCTAAAATAAGCTAAAGGAGGAACCCAAAAGCCTCCTGCTCCGGGCTTTTCCCTGGTGGGCCCAGGACCTCTGTGAAGAGAGCGCGCCCTGACCCGTTCCCGCCTCGCCACCCACTCGACATGTGTAAGACCTGCGTGCGTGCACGGCAGGCCCCGGGTCCCGCCCCCATCCCAAGTGCCCCATGAGTGCTGGTGGTGGGAACCCCAGAGACATGGCACAGCCAGCTTCTCCCTGTCCGTCAGTCCAGGCCCACTGGAGGGTGAGTGTCCACAAAGCTCTCGACGGTTTATCTGCCAGCATGATCTCACTCTCAATATCCTTGCAGTGCCAGAAATCGCAAGTGAAGGCCATTCTCCACAGTGACCGCAGGGACCCCCCCCCAAGCAAGCGTCCTTCTCTGCCCTGTGCCAGGGTAGACCTAGGGTCTGGGGCTTGGAGCCCGGAATCTTCGGGTGGTGAACCACGAAGACCCTTGGAACTACTCTGATTTAAGGGCTCTGGAAGATTCTCCAGGAGAACTGGGGGTGTAGGACTGAAATCCCAGCACCAATCTAAGCCCACCATGTCCATGCTAACCAAGAGGGGAAAGCACCCTGCCCCCCTGGCCTGCTAGGAGGGGGCAGTCCGAGGTGTCTGTGCGCAGGGAACCCTTCACTCTTCCATTCCACCAATACCACACCTGCTGCTCCTTCCGCTTCAGACAGAGCTGAAGGATGCCAGCCCTGCGTGCGGTTGCCTCACCTTCCTCTGCTTGTGCCGGGCCCGCTTAGCGGCGCGCGAGCTGCTCACGGGCTTGGCATCGGAGCTGTTGATGAACTGCAGCAGGTCCTCCACCCTGCGGTGGTCAACCACGCTCTCCCGCTCCGACAGAGGCTCCGCCTTCTTGGGCTGCTCCTCTTTCCGCTTGGTCAGCCGCAAGCGAAGTTTCTCCCTCATTTCTGCATAATTTCTACTTGTTGGCGCCGCTGGAGGCTGAAATATGTAAACGAGGACAAAAGTAAGTTTCACTTTCAATGATTTTTGTTTGGGGGGCTGGAGGAGGGTTACCGCCATCTGGCTGTGCTCGGGAATTGCTCCTGGTGATGCTAGGAAGCCAAACTGGGGTCAGTTGCATGCAAGGCGAGTGCCTCAACCCCTGTACTATCTCTCCATCCCAGTTTGAATGACTGGAATGTAATAAACGGAGACTGTATGTCTGAACAAAAACTGATCCTTAATACCTGGAACCATCAATGGCCGGACAAGAAAGCCTGACGCCCTTTACCCCAGCTCAGAGCCATGAAAGCTCTGGGTATTCACGACCAGGGGGCATCTACTCTGCTTCCCAGTCATCCCCAGCGATGCTCAGGGTGCACTTCCCGCTCATGCTGGGGTTCGCTCTCGGCAATGTGGGTGCCAAGGATCTGACCTGGCTCTCCTGCACCAAGCAGGCCTCCCAGACTGCTGGGCTCTCTCCAACCCTAAGTGGGCATTTTCTTGGGTTTGGGTCACCCTTGGCAGTGGCTGGGGGTCAAACACCGGGGACCAAACCAGGGTCTGTACTGCCAGGTGTGCTTAGAGCAGCGCATCACCCTTCGCAGCTTCCCTTTCCTGCACCCCATCCCAGTGCTGATGCTCCGCACAATGAAACAAGCAGGGCAGGAGGAGCGGCCATCGGCCCCTGACATCTGCTCGTCCAGACAAAGATTTGCTGCTGAACATCCACCCTGGGCAGCGGCGAAGGAGGTGAACGCAAGGGGTGGGGGTCGGGGAGCTCCCCTGCGCAGGGCGATCACATCTTGGGGACCAAAGCAGGCTGCAGCCAAGGTCGTGCCACTTACCCCGCCGTGCCCGAAGAACTCGCAGTAGCAGCAGTCGCAGTACTTGCCCTCCTTCTGGGTGGTGGAGGTAGAGGTGCTGGAGCTGTGCTCAGAGCAGCTGTCCTCGTCGGCGCTCTCGTCCCCATCGTCCTGCTGTGGGTCATAGACGCCATTCTCACATCGGTGTCCTTCACAGTCGGGGTCGCTGCAAAAACACACACAGGCTTGGTGACCAAGGCCCCGCTGCCCCGGGCCCCAGTCAGTCAGAAGCCCCTGACGAATGTGCTCATGTCACCCCCAGAACTTAAAGAGCTCTCAGCAGCTCAGGGGCCCGCAAGATCCTGCTCACCTGCAGACGCTGGGCGGCGCGCTCACGGAGCTGTCTGTGGTGGGGGGTGGGGGGGCCACAGGAGTGGGGCAGAAGCTTTTGCGTGGTTCCACAAAGCCTGGAGCTGTGGTCGCCGCTTTGGGGAAGGAAGGTGCCGTGAGGCCGGCCAGGTGAGACGGAGAGGCTGGAGCGAGGGCAGTGGGCGCGAGAGTGGGCAGCGGGGCCAGGCCGGTGGGGCTGCTCCTCGGAGCAACAGGCACGGCGAGTCTGTGGTCTTCCTTGCTCAGGCCATGGAAGACATCCCCTGCACGCAGAGACAAGGGGTCACTGCCCAGGGCTGGTGGGCAGTCTGTAGAACTTGGGCCGACCCCTTCCCCAGTGCAAGATTCTGTCCCACGGCTGCCCTTCACACGTGTCTGGCTGTGTGTTGTGGAAGAGCTATACGGACCCCAGTTCTGGGTGACGCCCAGTGGCCCCTGAGCACAGGCTCTGGCACCCCCACATGCCGTGCCCTCTGTGGCCGTGGGTCTGGCCCAACAAGGGCCAGCTTTTGCCTTTCGCAGTGCCCACGCAGGGCTGAGCTGAGGGCGGCTGCTAGAGGCCAGGTTATTTCAGGATGAGGCTTAGCTGGATATTCTGCCGTGAATGTACAGATGCTGGCAGGTCTGGCTACAGTGCCAGGGAGACCTCTGCTTGGGGGTGCTGGGGAGCATGGCCTGCCCACCCTGGCCATCTAACTTGATCTCCCCTGAGAGCTGCTGGTCGGTTAAGGGCTACCCCAGGGAGACTGCACACTCACCTCCCCACCCCCTTCTCATCCCCAACAGGCCATGTGCTGGAGAGACGTTCTTTTCTCGCTGCAGAACGGCGGGCACCCAGCCTGAGGGCTGCAGTGCAGGCATGGTCCCCGAGCAGCGGTCAAGTGCACAGGGAGCAAACGCGATACGGACACACTCCTCAGAGCAGGCCCACACCCAGCAGTGCTCAGGGATTACTCCTGGCTCTGCGCTCTGGGACCACTTCCAGGCTGGCCATGTAGAAGGCTCTCTCCGGCCCAGTACCTGAGCGCTGTCAGGGTCCACTACACTGTATCTCTGGCTAGGCCGAGAGCAGAGGCAGGCGACCCCAGCCTTACCTACGGCAGGCGGCCTCTTGGACGACACCTTGAACTGACTGTTGCTGGACTGCACTGTGGTGGCAGTGCAGGACACAGAGGAGGTGGCCGAAGAGGTGGCCATGACCACTTTGTTGGCTTCCATAAAAGCATCCTGGAAATCATACAGACACTTCTTTTTTGCCGTGTTCTTCTTCTCTGTACTGTCCGTGGCTGGAGCTACTTCGCTGGCGGCCGGCTGGGGCAGGGTGTCTGCTCGGGCCCCGGAGAGCACTGGCCCCAGGAGGTCAGTCCCTTCAGGGAAGGAGGGGACAGTCAGACTTCCCGGACCCAAGACTGCACACCCACAGTGCATGCTGCCGACTACACACTCCCGATGGGGCCTTAGCTGGGCGACTTCACTGACCACGCACCATGTGCCAAGTCCTGCGCCAGGTGCCTTCTAAAAGCTCTTGTGGTAAATGCCTGACAGTGACTTCTGAGGCTGAGACTGTTACACTCCCAGCCTAAAGATGAAGAAAGTGAGGCTCAGAGAGGCTAAGTAACTTGCCCAGGGTCACACGGCTAGCAGCCTTCGCAGCCCAGACATTGAGTCCAGCCTGCCATTCTGAGTAGACACAGGGCTCAGGGTGGGAAGAGGGCCTCCAGGGGCGCTGCCACATGAAGACAGAGGTGAGGTGTGGGCACCAGCCCCTCTTCAGGAGCAAGATGGCCCTGCCACCTCGGAGGCAGCTGGGAGGAAGATGCTAGTTAAAGGACAGAGCCCATGTGGGGTGGGCACAGAAATAGGAAAGGAATGGAAGCCACAGCGCCCAGGCGACCGTGCCCGCTAGCTACCCTGTGCCCGGGCTGAGGGCTGGCTGTCACCACTGCTGGGGAAGCAAAGGTAAAGCATGAGTGCCAGGGCAGGAAAGGAGGGAGAATGGATGGCCCAGGGGCCTCCCGCCAGAGAAGGGCCCGGGGGGGGGGGGGGGGGTGTCTCGGGAGTCTAACAGAGACAGCAGCCTACTTGACTCAGACCATTGCAAACCTTGAAGAAAGTTTTAACAAGTTCCTTACCAGAAATTGTATCTGGCAGGAAAGTGCCAGAACTCCAGTTCTTATCATTCATCACTTCTGATCCCCAAAGACTTATAAATTTAGAACTATTCCACTCTGGAGTATTCCCAAAACAGCTTGGATAAATATGGTCTTGAAGAGATGCACTGAATACCTGATGCTTATTTGTGTGACTCTGAGCAGGTGCTGGCGGTAAAGCCTACAAAGAGAAACGCTCTGATCACATATCGAGGCAATCTGTCGGCCGAGGGAGCCAAACTAGAGACAGGCGGTCACGGCAGGGACCGGGAGGCGCTGCTCCCTCGCTGTGCAGAGGCCCCGTGACAGGCAGGGCTGGCGCCAAGGCGGCCCAAGAGCAGGTCAGGCCTCGGCACCCGCTCACAGGCGCAGAGGCCTCGGCACACCTGACGCTTCTCCCGACGTGTTCCCTGGTGGCCTGTGCGCCCGACACTGAATTATCTTCCCAGATATCGGCCATGGCCTCCACTGGGAAGGCCTCACCTCTGTCCAGTGCGGAGGCCGACGGCAGCATGGCTCTGTGCTGGGCTGGCAGCCTTCGGCCCCCCTTGCCCAGCGGCCCCGTGGGACAGCCTCCTCACTGCTCTGATCTGGGCGCATCCTTGCTGCCACAGAGCCCTGACCTAGAGTCCCCCTCAGGCCTCAAGCCCTGAGCACCCAGACCCAGACTGAGCTGCAGGTGCACCTTCCAGCCACCGGCTCTAAAATCCCAATGCTCCCCCTGAACACTTACCATAGCTCAGCCAGACTTATCTGTGCCCTCAGGGTACTTACTCCCTGCCTCTCCTCTCCTGTCCTGGAGGCGTCACAAGGAGGCCGCCTAGGGCATGCACAGCTCAGTGTCTTTCCGCAGGGGTCCTAGCAGTGAGTCAAGGAGGTGGGGGGCTTCCAGGAGATGCCTATGGACAGGACACTAGGGGTGGAGAGGGGCAGTGGTGCCACCCATGTGGGACACGGGAGGTGGCCAGTGAGGGGAAGGCACAGAGATAGGGAGAGCGGGCAGCGGCTGGCGCCTGAGGGCTGGGCACAAGTGTGAGCTCGGGCTCCAGGCCAGCCCCCCTTCTAGCCGTGCGACTGAGGGCAAATCACCTGCACTTTCTGGACCTCAGTTTCTCCCCGAATGTGTCCGCACTGACCTGTCGGGGCTGTGGTGAGACACAAGACAATGACAGGTGCTGAGCCCAGCATCCTCCCGGGGCTGGGGGAGAGGGAGCCCAGGGGCCCAAGGTCGGTGTGGAAAGGATGTGGGGGCCTGGAACAGCAGGCTGCGGGGGTCCCAGTTACTCCAGCAGGGAGCCTGCGGATAGCAAAACGATAATGAGCCCATCCCGGGATGCGTTTCCACACCACGGGAGCAGCAGAGATCCGCGATGCCCAGGAGAGCCCCCACGAAAGGCGGCTGGGAGGGAGGCAAGGCTCACAGCAGGCGCATGAGCGGGGAGCGTGGCTTTTTTGTGGTTTGCCTGTGTAGTCTACTGTCTCCTCTGTGGTTTCTAGGGAGGGACCTCATGGTGTTGGGTATGGAATGAGACCTGACAGACTCCATTCCTGAAGTCCCTGCTCCATGCCTCTTGTTGCGTTTCCCTGGCCCACACGTTGTTTTTCTGGATGGATTGTGGTTCTCAACAGTTTGGCTTTCTCAGGGTTGTGCCCCCCCCCCACCCCCCAGGCCATCTGCCAAAGAAGAACATCTGGGTTGATAACTCGGCCTGGGTTCTCAGAATTCTGCTTCTTCCCCCCAGGCTGATAGCTCGGCCCTCGTTCCCAGAAACCACCCGGACGGGAGCAGGGGAGGAGGGAAAAGCTGCTAGAATGGCCGGGAAATTATCAGGATAAGACAACTTGTTTGTAACAGCTGATTGTGCTGTTTGAAACTAGGTTGAAACTTGTATTTTTACTTATATCTCCCTTTGAAACTGTAAGCGTGGGCTATGACGCACACACTGACTATGAAAATTGAAGCATCTCCCTTGTTCAGGGTCTTGCTTTGGCCTGCGTGCCCAAGAGCCTGACCCCAGCTAGCTGGCTTGAATAAACTCCACTTGTGTTTTGCATTACTGGTTGGACTCTGTGTGGTTCGGAGAGGGGAGATTATCAATCTCTCTAACAATGGTACCGATTGTTCTTTGCTTTATTTTTTGGTTTCTGGGCCATACTTGAAATCAAACTTGGGCCTCCTGTATGCAAAGATTTTTTTTTTCCTAAATTATATTTTAAGCCCTCTTGACTGAAAACAAGATTCCTGAAAACAGGATGGGATTTAAATAATTTTTGTTTTCTAGCAATTAACACAGGACCTGGGGGCTGGAGCGATAGCACAGCGGGTAGGGCGTCTGCCTTGCACGCAGCCAACATGGCCGACCCGAGTTCGATTCCTCCGCCCCTCTCGGAGAGCCCGGCAAGCTACCGAGAGTATTCGATATGCCAGACACAGTAACAACAAAGTCTACAATGGAGACGTTACTGGGCCCGCTCGAGCAAATCGATGATCAACGGGAGGGCCTTTACCTTTAACACAGGACCTGGCACATACAGGATGCTCAATAAATGCTAACCAGAGCTGAGCTCAACACCCAGGGAAGCGACAATGAAGCTGCCGTTCTGGACAGTCTGGGTGCCTCTCAGCCCTCAGAGCTCTCGAAGCTCCGCCAGCTTTCTGGGACAGATGTGGGTAGCACAGGTCCAAGGGACAGGAGCACGGTGCTGACGGCCGTTACCTGCCTGAATCCTTTCCCAGAGACACAGACTAAATCCCAACAGCTTCTGGGACTCCTCCCGTGTCCAGCAGCCCACTCCCTGCCCCCGCATCACCCCGATTAAGAAACGCCACCAGCTGCACATGGGCGATGAGCATCCACTGGAATACTGAGTTCTGCCGGAAATGAAGTCCAGCCCAGGAACAAAGCTGTGGATGTTGTTCACCCCGAGACCAAAGTGACTCATATGAAAGCATGATTTCTGTTTGGAACACAAGCCCTGCCATACAAAAGGAAGCTGAAGACGTGGCCTGTCTCCTGGGCCCATCTGCGCCGGGAGGAGAGTCATGCAAGCGGCTTCTCTGCTTCCTGCCCAGGCCTGCATGGGGGCAAGGCCCAAGCACTGCCTGGCTCCGGCCCGGCTCTCTCAGCCCGAACTAAATGCTGCAGGATGACACAGCTGAGAGCTGGGATCCCCCTATTGCTCCTCTTCTGCCTCAAACGCTGGCCTGTAGATGCACACGTGTCATATTTCTCTCGACTCAACTTTCAGATATAAGGATTAATAAGCAATCGAGGCACAGCCACAGGCAGAGAAGTCAAGGTCACTCTGCCTTCCTCATCGTCCCTTTCCTGTGGGGATAACAACTGCCCTGTTTCTTGGCAGTTTTCCTTGATGGGTGGAAAAGACATTGGATTGGAAGCAGAGCACTATGGGAAGAGTCCTGCCTGGCACAGAGCTGCACTGAGAGCAAGTCCTGTGAGGAAATGCCAGGGATCCCAGCAGGGCTGGGAGGGGTCACAGGCTCAGGGGAGGCAGCGGGCCTGAAGGGCCCAGAGTGTCAGCACCGGCAAATAGAAACCTGCCGAGAAGTGTCTCCACGGAGGGCCTTGGGGCTCCACAATCTCCAAGACTGCTGCCTAGCTAACAAACTGTTTCCAAAACAAACAGATGAAAAGCACATCAAGAAATGAGAAGATGTGACAATTTTTGTGTAGCTGAAAGGTAAGTAAAGCTCAGAAGAATTATGGTTGAAATACACAAACTTAGCTAGCGGGTTGGACAAACTGGACACTCACTTACCAAAGACAGACCCTAAACAAGCTCACCAGACCAGACCAGGAACACTCACAAGGGGAGACGGGAAGGGATGCAGAGGCGGAATGTGGGCGGCCAGGAGGTGTGGGAGAACAGAGAAGCTGGCGGACAATCAGGCCAGGGACAAACGACAAAACATCTGAGAGCCATGGGCAAATCCAAATGACTCAAGATATGTAACTGGCTGCAGAGATTAGAGAGGAGACGGAGTTGAAGTCACATGGCAGAATATGCCCCAAACATTCAGCAAAGAGGAGAATATCAAGTTGAATAAACACTCAAATCAACGGGCTTAACATTCTCAGCCCAGAAAAACCAAAGACAAAAGAAAATCTTGAACATGTTGAGGTATTTCTGGTACCTACAGAACAAGAAAAATTACAGAGGACATCGAATTAGATCTGGGGAGACAAGGGAAGACAGTAACTATGTTTAAAGTGGTGACGGGAGAGGGTGGGGCGCAACTCAGATTCTGAATCCAACAAAAGCATCCTTCCTTAGGGAAGGAGAAACAGACTTCCTCAGACAGACAGGCAGAAGGGAAAGAATCCAGGTTAGAGACTTGGCTCTAGTGAGGAGAGGACAAACCTGGGGGAAGAGCCAGAGTCAAAGACTACTTTTCTTAGTATTAACTGACCTAAAGATAGCCGCTTAGAGAACACTAACGCTGCACTGGGTGAGTGAAGACAGGTCACGGAGGGAATGATTCATTCAGTCCTCAAGAGGCACCAGGGGGTCACGTCGGTGGGGAGTAATATGACTACTGTAAGCTCTAGGGCAAGTCTGACTTCAAAAAGTGTATCAGATATATTATAAGGGAAGAGAAAATGGAATCAAAGCGCAATGAGAACCAGAAGCACAGAAAGAAGCATCTGGAAAAGAATCGGAAAGTTACAATGTTGCTGTGAATACAAGAAAGCATTGAGGATCATTCTGAGTTTGAACAGGCTAAACAAAAGGCAGATACTATTTCAAAAAGTATATTAGGAATAAGAACTAAGTAAATCAACATGACACCTACCTGAAACAGAGAGACTTTTTTGAGGCCTGGGATATAGCTTTGCATGGCGAGGCCGGGACTGCACGTCCAGCACCATACAAAACAGAACCCCCAAAAGAAAGGGAGGACACCAGCTGCTCACTTGTCCCACTTCCCAAAAGAGACTGAAGTTGAGCCAACAATGGAGACACTCCAGGCTGCCGCTAACCGAGAGCCAGAATCACCATCTTCAGCTTACAGACCTGAGCCCAGAAGGGCAAGGAGTGACAAGAGGGGGAACTCTCAGCAGGAGCACCAGCAGCAGAAGGCGGAGTACAGCAGTGGGGGAAGGAGCAAGCCAACAGAGCGCAGGAGCACAGGAGAAGAGGGGAGTATGGCAGGAGAGGGCAAGAGCAAGGCAGAAGAGGGCGGGAGCACGGAGGCGGAGGAAAGGCACCCATGAGCGAGGCAGAGATAGCGAGGCAGGGCAGTGAAGGCCCGGTGTCCAGGCCTTCCTTGGTCACTCCACAGGCTCTAGGTCATGAAGCGCCGCCAGGAGTCCAGACAGGACTGGAATGCTGCGTGCTCCCGGGCCGCGTCAGGTGAACGCGGCGGCAGGCCTGTGATCAGGAAAGCGGTCTCCCTGTCACCGCTTTACTGCTTTAAGTTTTCTCGACTATTTTCTACTTTCAAGCAACTCATATCAACGTAAGTTAAATGTCTTTTTTGGATAAAGACACTTGAAAATAGAAATGTCAAAGGCTTTTTTTTTAATGTCAAGGAAATCATTTTTTGTTTTTGGGCCACACTCAATGATTGCCAGGGGTCTGCTCCTGGCTCTGAACTCAGGGATCACTCCTGGTGGGCTCAGAGAACCACATGGATTGCCGGGGTTGAACCTGGGCCAGTGGCGTGCAAGGCAAGCACCTTGCCTGCTGTACTCCCACTCCAGCCATGGAAATAAGAATTTTATGACATTCCTCTCAAGAGTTGCATGTGGAAGATATTCACCCACAAAACACCGAACATGAAGCAGAAGAATCCCCACTTAGATTAGAGTGAAATGAGCAGGGTGCTGGCCTTGCATGCACGTGGCACACTGGGCTTGACCCTCCGCACCCCGCAGGGTCCCAAGTGCGGAGTCAGAGCAAGCCCTGAGCACTGCTAGCATGGCGCGATGCAAGCCCCCTGCCCCAGCAAAACCAAACCAAACCAAACCCAAACAGCCAATGATGAGAAGTGAATGCTGTTAGACAGCACTGAGACAGGAGTGTCTGGGAGGCTGGGCTGGGCTGGGCTGGGCCCGGAGCAGCGTGGGCATCCAGATGAGGAGCATGCCATGGGAGTCCCCATCTGGAGGCAACTCTGGGGCGTATGCGTGCCTGGCTGTAGCGTGCTAGAGATCACATTCAGTCATGGCCCAAGAGTCTCAAGCAGCTGAGCACTGGGACCTGAGCTGCCCCAGCCTGAGCCCCCCTGGCAATGCCCCAGGTGACTGTGAAGCCCCAGCTGCTGCTCCCTGGTCCATGGAGGCTGAGGGCTCAGAGACCTTTCCCAGCAGTGCTCTGAATCAGATCATGGGGCCAGAGACATAGTGCATGGGGAAGGTGCCTGCCCGCATGTGGCGACCAGGCTCTGCCTCCAGTCCCCAGAGGCCCTCAGGAGGGATCCCTGAGCACCTCTGGGTGTGTCTCCTGCCCCAAATCAAATCATGTTTGGCCCCTGCTTTAATTTTACTGCCAAGCTCTTCCTTCCTTAGCTGCAGTGCTCATGGCCATTTCTTTCCTCAGTGGGGGGAGGTGCTGTTTGTAGCGCTCATATACCTGGTGGCCAGGAAGTGCATTTCCTCTTCCCAACTCTGAATGGACTATACAAAATTCATACATGATCTACTTCATGATGCAGTGTGGCTCAACCATGAGCAGCTATTTTGCAGGCCTGGTTGATGGGAAGGTGAATTTGTCTGGATAAGCAAATACTTGAATACCAGGCACAAAGGAAGAATGCTTCCAAATTAAAGTGGCACCCAGTCAACGTATTTATTTTGGGGGAGCCACTGACTGCTTGGTGTGTGAGGTCAGTGGTATGGGGAAGCACATGGTGCTGGGGATGGACAATGGGGCCACTGCTGCAAAGTCTGTGCCCAGCCCTGAGTCTCCCCTGTCACAGTGCTCAGGGGAACTGCCACTGATCGCGAGGGGCTGGGGGGCTGGGGATTGAACACAGGCTTCCCACATGCAAAGCATGTGCTTTGGTCCTTTGGGTTCTTTCTCTGACCCTGTGCGATCGCACTAAATGAACCATGAAGTGTTGAGCAATCATGAATAGAATTAAGAGCAAAGAGGTCCAAATCAAACCTCTTAACGAGTGCACCCCACCCTCTGGGCCCACCTCTTCACGCTGGCAGGACTCTCTCGCACCCACCTGTTGCTCAGCCCTGCCAGTTAGCTGAGATGCAGATAAAGCCCCAAGAAGTGTTCTCACTACTGTTATCCTTCTTTTGGGGGGCTTTGCAGTGGCAGAGGTCCCCAAACTGTATCCAGGAGGCCATGGAGTGACACTTGGCTAGGTAGGACAACCAGGCTGGTGTTTTTATGCTCTGGTGACCCTCTGGCCTCCAAAGCTATGGGCAGTGATGCCTGAAGTTAAGCCCTGAGCCTGCCCCATCTCTGCAGCCTCCGTTTACCCTTCTGGAGGTCAGCTCAGTGTCCAGAGGCAAAAAGTCCAAAGCAAAGGCAGAGAACTAGCTCTGACTCACGCCCATGGGCTGCACAGCCTTTGAAAGAATCAATCTCACTGCACCTGAAGATTTTGAGAAACCAACCCACAAACAGTTTCTATAAGCTGGAAAGCCCAAGGGAACATTCTTGACTCATTTCTCAGGGTGGTGCGTATGGCAGAGAAGGAAACCAAGCTCTGCTGGGTGGAAAGGGGGAGCGGACAGCTCAGGCCAACAGCCTGACCTTGACGTGTACCCGAAAATGCAACACCCAGTCACTCTATCAGGAAAGGCTTCACTGACTGTTCCAACGGGGTCAGGACAATGTAATGAGATTTAAGCACGAATGCAACAGGAGCCAAGAATGTATCAGAAGTCAGCATGATTCGCTGATCCTCTCCGAGTCCAAACTTTTCATATCTGTCCAGCCGTTTCCCTTCCCTGAAAACAAACCACCCACCAATACCCACTTTCCCTGCCTCACAGCAAGGGCCCTCCTGGCCTTTCTCTCCCTAGCAGTCACTATCTCAGATGACCAAATGGTCGTCTAGGGAAGCACCTACTACTTCAGACTGATGAGATCCACTTTGAACCAAAACAGTGATCCAGTAACACGCAGAGTTTGTGCGTCAATAAAGGTCAGTTCAAAGCGGGAGAGACCAGGGGAAATACAAACCTCTAGCAGAGTCCCGGGCAGTGAACAGAGAGCCCTGGGAAGAAATGCGCCAGATGAGCTGTATCTAGGCTGGACACCAGTTTCCTGGAGCCTCCACCCTCTGCCTCAGAGGCACTATGCCTCGCGGGCTGGGGATCTGTGCTCACAGGACTCACGCTCCACTCAACACTCAAACCATTGCCCCCCGAAGCTCGTGAGTACGGGAGCCGGGCACCCGCACGGGACACTCCCGGCTCAGACACCTTTTCTCCAGAGCAGACCTGGCAGTCAGGGATCAGGCACACTCTGCCAGCTTACCTTGCTGTGCGTGAAGGGGGACGCTGTGTACAGAGTAGGGTGGAGGAGCGGGCGTGGTAGGTGCGGCACGGCGTGCAAGGGCACATGTCCGTGGATGTGGGGGTACAGATGCAGCGCGGGGTGTGTGGGCTTCTCTGGACTCAGGAACTGGTGGCCAGGGGGCAGGGCTCCGGCCGTAACGGCCGCGGCGGTCAGTCCCGAAGCTTCTTGTTTACACACATAACACTCACAAGGGTTGGGAGCTTGTTCCACCTGCAAAGGAAGACAAAGGACGCAACTTACTCAGGCTGGGCAGCTCTACGTCAGACACAAGGAGGGCAACACCTGTCCTCACACTCTGCACTAAGGGGCACGAGGGACCCGGTCTGCCCAGACAGGGAGGGGGGACACGCAAGAGGAACCCCTGCGGACAAGAGTTGGAGCGGTCTGCTTGTCCTCTGCTGGGGAGCAGCGCCCACATGCAGGGACAGGAGATCTGGAAAGAAGCAGGCAGGGACAGGAGATCTGGAAAGAAGCAGGCAGAGGAAGGGCAGGGGCACCCGTGGATGAGGCGGCACTCTGTGAGGGGGAGGGGCGTTCAGTGGTGGGGGTGCCACCCCCTGGAGAAGCGGAGAATGGAACAAAGGTAAAGGCAGTAAGGCGTTATGGGCTTCTATCCCGACTTCCCATACCCTGTACAAAGGCTGAGCTGAAGAAACAAAAAGCACCAAAGTGGGGCACATTAGAAAACAAACAAAAATAGAGGCCAAGGAGAAGCTGGGAAAAACACAGGAGACACTGTCAGAAGGACAGGAAGTGGCAGCTCATGATTCTAACACAACAGCCACGAAATGTCCTGAACAAAGCCAGAGACGACTGGACAGAGTGAAAAGGCAAGGCCTGGGCACTGGCGCCACAGTGCAGCGGGCAGGGCACCTGCCTTGACTCCGACTGACCCAGGCTCTTTCCCTGACACTCCATGTGGTCCCTCAAGTTCAGCCAGGATTCCCACGCTGCTTCACCCCCGCCCCCCCAAAAAAATGTAACACCAAACAAGATTCAGTGACAAATTTTAAATTAAAAGATATGAAGTGGCTAAACTTAACTTGAAAGGCTAAAAAAAATGGGACCGAAAAGATAGTACAGCAAGTAAGGCAAATTGACAAAAGGGTCAATAATACAAGAAGCTATAAAAAAAATTTACAAATGCACATTGTCCACACTGGTAGGTTTGAAAAAGGGGCCCTGTAGACCTATGACTCTTTGCAATATTTAGAAAAATGGAACAAAATATCAGTAAGATATAGAAAACTCATACAATTCTATCAATATGACCAACTTTCAGTTCTAGGACATTCCACTGGAGCAAAATATAAACTGCCTTCAAGTACACGAGAAACATTATCTAAGATGTTAGGAATAAATAAGACAAATTTCAATAAATTTGGAATTTGGAAGCTTTAATATAATAAGCTAATTACACTAAAGCGTTGATTTCACAAGTCAGAACAATTTCTAGTAAAGCATAAATTAAGTCAGGAAGAACTATAAACTGAATAGAACTGTCACTGTCACTGTCCTCCAGTTCTTCATCGATTTGCTCGAGCGTGCCCAGTAACGTCTCCACTGTGACACCTGTTACTGTGTTTTGGCATATCAAATATGTCACAGGGAGCTTGCCAGGCTTTGCCGTGCAGGTGAAATACTCTCGGTAGCTTGCTGGGCTCTCCAAGAGGGGCGGAGGAATCGAACCTGGGCCGGCCAGATGCAAGGCAAATGCCCAACCCACTGTGCTATCGCTCCAGCCCCTGAATAGAACTATAACAATGTAAACAAAATTTAAATATGATCACAATGGGGCTGGAGCGATAGCACAGCGGGTAGGGCATTTGCCTTGCACGCAGCCAACCCGGGTTCGATTCCCAGCATCCCAAATGGTCCCCTGAGCACCGCCAGGGGTGATTCCTGAGTGGAGAGCCAGGAGTAACCCCTATGCATCACCAGGTGTGACCCAAAAAGCAAAATAAATAAATAAATAAAAATTAAATAAAACAAATATGATCACAAATCCTCCCAGCCCCCCCACCTCACCCCTCCCTCAAAAAAAAAAAAGGGAAGGAGACCAGGTCCTTGAATTTCAATGGCAAAATTTATCAAATAATTAATAAATCTCAATATTACACACATTCTTTTGAGATAAAATACGATGAACAAACTTACTTTTATTCCATCTCATTTTATGGGACCTGATAACAAGGTTGGACAAAAACATCACAAGAACAGATGACTACAGTCCAGAATATTTTATTAGCAAAAATGCCAAAATCCTAAACAAAACAGCAGAAAATAACCCAGAAAATCAGAAGACCATACACCACCACAACTAAGCAGGAGCTCTCCCAGGAAGGCATATGATGTGGCATACTCCTCAGAGCCAAATAAAGCCAGCCATATTTCAGCAAATAAAGATCTGTTTAAAAAAGTTCTCTTACATATATTCACAAAAGAACTTTATATAATTGTTTTAGATTTATCTATGAAAAATCAACAGCATCATGCTGACTGGTCCAAGAGAGAATGCTCTCTCCTGATGATGGCGAAATAAGGCAAAATATCTGCCCAAACCAATTCTACTCAATATTGTGTTGACCGTTTGATTAGCTCAATTAGGCAAGAGCAAGAAAAGCATCCCGGTTGGAAAGGAAAAAACTTTGTCTTTTAGTTTTTTTCTTTTTTATGTAGGAATACTGCTATTTATTCAGCCACTGATGATTAGCTGATGGAATTGGGCATGAGCTCCACTGTCTTTTGGTTTTTATAGACAACGTAACTCTGTATGGAGTTTTGTTGTTTTTATAGACAACATAACTTTGTATGGAGAAAGTCCAAATAAGTAAGTCAATACCCCCAAATACCCAATCCTACTGTACAAAGATGCGGATAAGATTCATAGATAAAAATTGAACATTTCCAGAGATAGTACAGTGGGGAGGGTTACATGTGGCTTACCGGGGTTCAATCCCTGGCACTCCATATGGCTCCGTGATCCCCACCAAAAGTGACTGTGTGGGCCACAGATTTACACTGCTTCTTAAAATGAACTGTCACTTCTTGTTTTGGGGCCTTACCTGGCGATGCTCAGTACCTACCACAGGCTCTTTAATTAGGGACATACCTGGTAGACACAAAAACATGTCCACCAAGGAGAAAATCACTGTTATAAAACAATCCCATTCCGAAATGTTACCATTCCATATTTTCATTTATTTCACCCCCCATGCTGCACCCCCTTGTGTCTGGATGGATATGAAGCTTTGGCTCTGGAGCGTTGCAAATAAAGGTTATTTATTACAGAGTCAAGCAAGAGAAACACAATTAGTACATTTGTTTTCCTGGCAGGGTTCAGGGATCATATATAGTGCCAGGGACCCCACCCGAGTCAGCTGCAACAGGCCCAAGGTACTATCTCTCAAGCCCAAATCATGTGTGCTAAAAAAAATGGGGAGTGAGGGGCACACCCAATCACGCTCTGGGGCTGCTGCTGGGGTGCTGTAAGGCCGGGGACAAATGACAGGCCTTCACCCCACTCGCACCCAACTGCTTTGTGTGTTCACCATGTAAGTATGCCTAGATTCAGTCTAGCTCAAGATTTTGGAAGTTATTCAAAATAACCTAATTCTTCGGGGATCAGAGCGATAGAACAGGTACAAGGGCACTTTGCATTCTACACAGCTGACCCGGGTTCAATTCCCAATATCCTCTTGGTTCTTGAGCCCTACCAGGAGTGATTCCTGAGTGCAGAGGAGGCCTAAGCCTTGAACACAATCAGGTGCAGCTCAAAAAACAAAACAAGAAACCCAAAGCAGCGGATTCTACAAAACAACCTAATTTTGTACCCAGCGACACTCGTGCCGACAAACACACAGGGAATGAGAGCCAGAGAGAGGGAAGCAGGAGCGCGCAGGACGGTACCTGCTGGGTCGGGTATGCCGGTGGCGGGCTGTCGACTTGGTTCTCCTCATTCCTGGGGCTCCCGTTCCCTAGACTGATGTCTTCCTTCGGGGCTCCTGGCGGCTCCCCACTACTCTCACCATCCACTTCTTCATCGCCAGCTTCAGAAGAACTACTACTGGTACTGCTGACCTGAGGGGACTGAAAAACAGCCGATGGTGATTGACTCTTCGTGGAACTACAGACTGCCTGAAGGAAGTGCCAGGCCGCCATTCGGGTCTTTGCTGTCCCAGCACGGGGCAGAACCCATACCTCCTCTTTCAGAGCCAGGTTCTCCCCGCCGCCATTCAGTTCGCTGTGGGTTCCATTCATGTTGGCCACCACCTCAGCATCATCGTAGTTACTCAACGGATAAATGTCAGCAAATTTAGCTGACAAGGGTGCGATATCTTCTTCATGACTACAACTGAGACAGCAGAGGAGTCAGCAGTGAGTATCCTCCCAGGGGACAGTGAACGAATTCTTGCCACCCCCAAATACAGCCAAGACTAGAGCAAACAGGGCATACATGGCGAGGGCGCTGAGCACGGGCCAGGCACCTGACTCCAGGGAGCAGGGCACACACCAGCGAGGGTGCTGAGCACATGCGAGGCACCTGAGTCCAGCCCAGGAGAGCCGGTAGCGAACCCTGGAGGAGAATACAGGACAGCACAAAGGCTGAGGAGACACTGACTCCATCTGAGGAACGTGTGCAACAGTACAGCTGTTCTCCATGAAGTTCTCCAGAAGTCATGACATTATCTGGTGGGAACTAAAGGGGAGGGCACCTTTAGCATTTGATTCTGTAACCATCAGAGTATCAGAGAGAGCCAATGGAGAGCCAACTCTGGCCAGGTGTTTCATGATCTTAACTGAGGATCAGCTTTAGCGAGATGTGCAGCAAAGTAGAATTCCAGTGCCGTGTCACATGCCACTCGAACACACCACAAACACCCGAAGGGTTAGCGGAGTTCCCGTCAGAGCTATAGTTCAAGCCTGACCATCAACCACGTCTCCTGAATGCCCCCAGCTGAATGCCTCCAGTTTCAACAGACAGAGCTACCCTTGAGAAGGAAAAAGTCTATGAACAGGACCTCTGAGGAAGTAGTAGAGAATGGCTCAGGTGCTACAGGAGCACAATGTGCTGTGGCAGGAGTCACGGGCACTCCAGAGATGCAGGCGCTCCTATGTCCGGAGCATGATCCCTACACAGTCCAGGTGAGGAAATCAAGTCTTTCTATTTGGGGCCTTTGGCCGAATCCTGGCTTACTCAGAATTACTCCGAGTGGTTCTCGGGAGACCTTATCAGATGGTGGAGATTGAACCCAGGTCAGCCACATGCAAAGCAACTGCCCTACCCTCTGTATCTTTGCTCCAGCCCCACCAAACCACCTTTCTCGCCATGATGAGGGCAGGCTTTGGCAGCCCCAAGCCCCATAGAATCTAGAAGGCACCAACTGAGGTGCACCAACTCAGAAACGGCCCCAGGAGAGAACTCCAGACAACCCCGTGGCAGTGGCCCAGTCTGGCCGCCTTCCTCAGCAATCGACGTGCACAGGCTGCAGCCCAACGCAGCTCGGACCTGATGACACCCATCCCTCTGGGATGTCTGAGAAGCGGGGTGGGCTGCTGCATCCTGCTCTCTCTCAGCACATCCAAATAAAGAGTCTCTCCACGGAGCAGAGCATACCGGAATTCAGGCCAGCCACTGCCCCAAATGCTCAGGTGAGGCGAATCCGGAGAGACTGAAATGGTCGTGGGTCCCAGCGCCACCGGATAGAGGTGGCGGCCAGGGGCAATGCTGAGCTGCCCAGCTCAGGGCAGCCGTCCCCCACCCCTGGAGCCCTCCAATGCCTTCAGTTAAATGACAGCACACCGACCGGGCAGCCCTTCTGGAAGTCCGAGTGGAAGCCTCGGCACACAGCACGTGGAGCCCACATGGGAACTGGCCCCATGCCGTAAAAAAGGTGCCTCCAGGTAACGGGGTGCAGAGACGTCACTGCTTGCTCAAGTGATAGTGAGTGTAGCGAGGCCCTGGAGAAGCATGAGTATGGAGTGATTTTTGGGGGTGGGGAATGGAGAGCAGATGGCCAGCCTCCAGCTGGGACTCAGGAGGCAGTTACCTGCAGGCTGCCACACCACTCCTTCAGCGGCAAGCATGATTCACCTGCTTTTTTATCAGAAGGCAAGAACTTCCAAGTTCAGGCTCACTGATTTCAGGTTTGAAGAGTTGCTTTAAGAATGGAGCCTCCTGGAGCCAAAGTGAAAGTATAGCGGGGAGGGCACCTGCCCAGCACGCAGCCAACTGAGGGTTGATCCCCGGCATTCCTCACAGTCCCCCAAGCACCACCAGGAGCGATCCCTGACTGCAGAGCCTGCAGTAACCCTTGAGCACAGCTGGGTATGGCAAGAAAAAGAAAAAAAGGATGGAGGTGGCTTTTCTTCTCCGAAAAGCACACAGCACACCCAGACTGTGCCTTGAGAGGGCACCGAGTGCAGCTCAGCGCCTGAAGCTGGGGAGGCAAAGTCTGAGACCCCAGATGGGAATAGCGCCCTGCACACAGCTGTGCAGCCTGTGGGGCCTCGACTGTTGGCTCCCAGCTCTGCTCTAGGAAACAGGAATGAAAGCAGAGGCACTGACTAGAAACAGAAAATGACACTTCACCGCTCTCCGTGTCTGCACCTCTCCCGGGGTCCCTCCCCTTCCCGAAGCCTTACTGCAAAGTCACGACTTACAAAGCGGGTGCGGAGCTCGTGTCCGTGAGGATAAGCCTGGGGTGCTGCTGCATGGTGAGGGGAGAGCTGGAGCCCGACCCTGAGCTCGCTGAGGACACACTCGGGGGTCGCATCTCAGACAGACAGTCGGAAGCAGAGTCCACCTGAAGCGGGAGCTGGTGGATATGGATGTCGCCAGTGCCCGGGGGGTCCATGATGCCGCAGGTGAGGATGTGTGAGAGGCTGCAGTCATCGCAGGCACACCTGCATGGGGGTCACAGTCACCGAAACGGCAGCACACAGCCTGCGCCACCCGGGGCCTTTGCACGAGGCCCGGTGGGCCCGGCTCACCTTCTCCGGTAGCTGCAGTTGGGACAGTCGGGCATGTTCAGCCGGGAAGACAACATGTTCCGCATGGCATCCGTGAAGCTGTTCTCCCCCGTCAACGCCTTCTTATTAGTTAGCTAGAGGCAATTCATACACAACAGGTTAAGTCCGCAAAAGGGCCCTCTGTTATGTGCTCCTGGTTCAGCTCTGGGGTCACACCTGGCAGTGCTCAAGGAGCCACTCCTGGATCAGTGCTCAAGGGCTTTGGGGTGCTGGGGACTGAACCCAGGGTCCCGCATGCAAAGCATATGCTGGCCTATTGAACCATCTCTCCAGCCCGTTCTCTGGTTCTTCTTCTTCCTGCTCACCACTTTTCCAAGTAGGCCAGCGAAGGGAATGCAGAGCAGACCCGGCCGGGCATCACAAGGTCAGGACCACCAAGTCCATCTGGTCTCCTCCCCGCCAATGTGCCCTGAGCTGGCCCCTGCCCAGTGCTTAGTGGGCCCAGGCACACAGACATGGCGAAAACCACCAGCCCAAGAAGCTTCAGTTCTGGAGAGGAGCAAGAACACATAGGAGAGAAAGCGCCAGAGCAGAGGCCCATGCCTGCCCGGCGGTGCTGAGGCAAGATGGAAAGGAGTGAGGGCAGCGGAGCATGACAGGGACCGGCGGGGGGCGGGGGGGGGGGGCAGGTCTGGAGCAGGAGTGTCTGCCCATCATAGGCATGGCGGGAGACGGGCCGTACAGGTGGCCGATGGCAGCAGCGGAGCAGCACGCGCGTGGAAGCACGGCTCCCGAGAGGCCAACAGACTGGCAACACGGGAGTTGTGCCCAAACCAAGGCAGCTCCTGAGACCCATGCTGGCAAGGGCCCTGGGCGGGGCTGCAGCTGTGGCTCACCTGCTCCTCGATGAAGCGTCTCTGCCTGAGAAGCTCCCAGTCCTCTGTGAGCACACGCTGCTTGCTTTTCATCGTCATCTGCCAAGGGCACACGAGAAGCAAAGCCTGAGCCCCGGCAGGAGCCAGCCCGGCCCCTTTCCAGGGGAAACTTGAATGAGGCCCACAGGAATACCAGGTCAGACAGAAAAGGCAACTCCACAGACCCCTGTGCAGTTCCTCACACAGCTTCCTCGCCACCTCAGGGACTTCTGAGGGGACAGAAACCGACACTGGAGCCCGGCCTGCCATGGGGGAGGGAAGCCCAGTGCCTGGGAAGGGGAGACCGGGTCTCGCTTCAAAAGGTCTCTCTGAACACCCAGGTACCGCCACGCTGCAAGCATGGAAATCTTGCCCATTCTGAGGGAAAGGGGACCACCGATGGCTCCACACTCCTCTGGCATGGTAGGGAGGATCTAAGGAGACTAAATCCTGTTCACACAAATGTATGCTCTAATACAGAAAACTTATAAGCAACCACTAAAAAGACATAACGTTTACTACAAGAAAATTACTGCGATATTAATATACATATTAATTATTAGAAGAAAAAAGGGAAGTGAGCTAATATTCAATCTTGCAAGTGAGAAAATAAATACTGGGGCAGGAGTGAGAGCTTGCCTTGCATGTGGCCAACCCAGGTTCAGTCCCTGTAAACCTGGCACCCCATATAGTTCCCCAAGCACTGCCAGGAGTGATCCCTGAGCACAGAGCCAGGAGTAAGCTCTGAATAATGCCAGGCGTGGTCCAGAAACCAAACATCAAAACCCTAAAAAGCACCCCGAGATAAAATTAAATACAGCACACTTGGGAAAAAAGCAAACTATTAAAGAAAAAAAATCAAAGTTGAAATAACAGTCTGTTTATAAAGTCACATGAACCAAGTAACACAGTATGTGCCCATACTTGGATGAAAAATATATACAAGTATAAGCACTCAGGGGTGGGTGAACAATACAGAGCAAATAACACTAAAAAGGAAGCCTCCCACTCAAGAAGCAAAATAAGAACTCAGGGAACGAGGTATGAAGGGATTAATGAAAAAGCCAGTAATTCTTCAGGAAAAGCAGCAGGTGTGATTAAGAAACCCAAAAGTTGCTTTTCCAAACTTCTTCCCAGGATAAACAAAGGGAGAAAAGGCATCTCAAACCTCTGCAGGACAAGGGCTGGAGCGCCAGTACAGCAGGTAGGGTGTGGAAGACCCCCCAGGACCCCAGACAGTCCCAAGCACCAGCCGGGAGTAACCACAGAGCATCAGAGGGGATGGCCCAAACCAAACCAACAAACAACCTTTCTGTGCAAGAGGGTCACGTGGCTGAGTGATGGGCCAGGTGCTCTCTGCACACTCAGCCTTAGCCGTGACTCCAGTGCACATAGCTAAATCAATCTCTCCTGAGCATCGCTGGGTATGAGCCCGAGTCCCTGGGCTGAGCAATACAGGGGTCAAGAGGGAAGATAGCTCAGGACGCAGAAGGAATTGTGTGTGGTCTCGAAACAAAAAGAGAAAAAAATTCACCATCTCAAGGATGTGGGTCGGCTCTGGGACACGCTGTCCTCGCCCTCCCGCACTGCCCTCTCGGTACCTGCTACAGATCCTGTATCCATCTGAAGCGGATGCAAGGAACTTCGAGGGCAGAATTTACCAAAAAAAAAAAAAAAACAAAACCCCAAAACCCACATTTTTTCTCCACTTCAGGTGGGGGCTGTCTTCCCAATCATGGCCTCAGGGCTGCTCAGGCAGCTGAGCTGGTCCAATGCTAGGGACCGGGGTACAGAGCATTGGCAGTGCCTGGTGCTACTGGGGTTCCAGCCTGCAACCGACTACAGAGCTACCTACTAGACTTCACATGACAACTTTGATGCAGCACAAAAGGGCCAGGAAGATGGCTCAAAGGGCTGGAAGGAAGCTTGCCAGGCACACCTTAGAATATATTTTAAAATCTATCAACTAATTACATTTACAAATGGATTACCAATACCAAGTAGAGTTTAATTCAGGAAAGCAAGGATGCCTTAGGAGGAGAAAACTTAGTTTCTTAATTCACATAGAAACAGAAATTCCTAAAGGATCACACAACTGAAGCCAATATCCTGCTTCTCTTTTTGAAACCTAATAACCTTAGTTAGAAGCAAAAAATGAAAGAACTTTGTTACAGAGCACAGACAGTGGGAGCATTCCTGGGCAGCATTCCTTAGAGCAGAGAGGCCCCCTTTTCAGGGGCACCCCCCTCCCCTGGGAAATCTACCTTTTTTAAGCCACTAATAGCAGGTGAACCCCATCTTTCCAGGCTCCCCAGTGGGCATATCACCCACTGCCAGGGCAGAAATGGGGTCTCAGGGCAGATGCTGCTTAGCCAGATTCAGAAGCTTCGCAAGGTGCTAAGAAGGCCCCGACAGAGCCCAGACATTAGGAAAGATAAGGCTAAGTGTTACTACTGGCAGAGTGTGTGTTCTCCTGGGAAACCAAGACTTCAGCCCACTGGGGAGTGGCGGGGGGACCAAGTGCAGCCCACACCAGCACCCACGTATCAGATCAGGGAGAGACACACACCAGAATTCAAAACCCACTGACGAAGAAAGAGAAAGATCAGGTTCTGGGGTGGTTAGAGTCAATATTGGCTGCCTTTTCCTTTGTACGAAGCTGCAGTTTTTAGGAGAAACACTTTTCTTTTACAACAGCTATTGTTATTGCTAGTTTAAGAAATAGTTCAAACAACCTAATTATTAGACAGAATTTTTTTTATCTCAAAAGATTTATTCAATAATTAACAGTATCAGCAGAAACCTCTCTTTGAAAATGCAGAACATCTTTGTACTGTAGTTTACAGACACACCAAACAACAACAAAGAAATTTTAAGCAGAAAAAAAAAACCAAACAACTTATCTTGTTACTGTCTACGATCTCCCCACATCTATGTTTAAATGTGAACACACCATTGCTTTAAAAATGGTTTAACATTTTGAAATCTCTGAACCACCATGTAATTTCTAAGACACTGCTGTCAGAAGTGACTGATATCCAAGCCAAGCATTCTATGGATGCTACAAAAATCAGTTTCATTTCTAACTGATGTGAACATAACACTGTGCTTTCTTGACAGAACAGGAATACAACTTTCAGGGCTGTGCCGAAGATGGTTCTCCTTACTGGAAAAGGCTAGAAAATGCCATGGTTTTCATTTTTGGGGTTTGGTTTGGTTTTGGGGCCACACCTAGCAGTGCTCAGGGATCATTCCTGGTGGTGGCTCAGGGGCAATGTGGTGGATCATATCAGGGTCAGCTGCATGCAAGGCAAATCTCATGGACAATCTCTCTGCCCCCCCCCCCTTTTTTTTACTGTGGTAAAATAAACACGGCCTAAAACTGACCATCTGAACCATTTTAAATGCACACTTGTGGGATTCAGGCACATTCACACAGCTGGGTGGGCAGCACCACCTCCCACCCGTCACCTTAACTATGTTATAAAATGGAAACTCTGCCGCATGCACTCACTCAGCCCTCTGTGGCCCTCACATATGTGAGACTATATACTACTGTCTGTTCTTTATGGTCTGCTTATTCCACCTGGTATGTCTTCAGGGTTTCTTCCATATTCATAAAGCTTCATTTTGTCCTTGGTTCTGAGTTAATTTCTGCACTCAGTCCAATTCTTTTTTCTTTTTTTCCAGGCCACACCTGGCAATGCTTGAGGGTTATTTCTGGCGCTGCACTCAGAAATTACTCCTGGTGGTGCTCGGAGTCCCCATGGGTGCTAGGAATGGAGCCTGCAGCGGTGTCCGGTTGACCTTTTTTGCCCCCGCGTGTAGGCATGCTTTCCCTGTTCTTTCCACACTCCAGGACTCAGACCCTCCCGAGTCGGTGGGCCCTGTTTCATGGCTCTGTGTGTTTTACTTTAGATTCATACCAGGAAGCACGCAGTCCAGTGTTGGTCTTTTCCAATTACTCTGCTACTCTTCCTATGAGGATTCCGAATGAAATTTAGGATGGGTCTCTCCTCTCTAAAAAACATCACTAGGGGCCGGAGTGGTAATACAGAGCGGAGAGCGTTTGCCTTGCACGCAGCCCACCCAGGTTCAATCCCTGGCATTTCATATGGTCCCCTGAGCACTGCTAGGAGTAATTTCTGCATACAGGTAGCCCCTGAGCATTGACGAGTGTAACCCAAAAAGAAAAAAAAAATCAGAACTTCAAGACATTGCAGAATCTGTAGACTGCTTGGGAAATACTGACATTCTCATGTTAACAGTACATGAACAAAGGACATGCCTGCATTCATTCTCATTTAGTTTCATCAACATTTTAAAGTTCTCATTGTATAAGTTTTCCACTCAAGTAAAATAATTTCTAGGTACTTTACTCTTTTTAAGGCTACTACTGTAAATGGAACTGTTTTGTTTTCATTGTATAGAAGAGCAACTGATTCTGTATGCTGACAGTGAACTTAAGAAACTGCGTTAGACCTAGCAGTTTAACCTTTTGCTGTCCGTAAGATTTTCCACAACTAAGACGCTGTCATCTGTGCACACACATGATTTTACATCTTATCTTGGAATCGTAGAGTTTTTTTCTGTCTTTTTTATTGCCTGTTACTGCCGAAGCTTTCAGCATAGACTGAACAGAAGCACTAAAAGTGGGACCCTGTGTCTTCTTCCTGATCTCAGAGATATTTTTTCACTGGCGATTCACCACATGACATTTGCTGCAGATCCTTCACACACAGATTTCATTCTGTGGAAGCTGTTTCCTTCTGTTTTTGATTTTTTTTTTTTTTGCCACACCTAGCTTGTGCTCAGGGCTTACTCTTGGCTTTGCAATCAGGGATCACTCCTGGCATGTTTAGGGGACCATCTGGGGTGCCAGGGATGGAACCTGGGCCAGCTGCATGCAAGACAAGCATTCTCCTGCTGTACTATCAGTTTGACCCATTTTCTTGTGTTTTTATCAAGAAAGGGAGTTGAATCTGTCAAACACTTTTTCTGTATCAAGACAAAGGACATAAAAAAATTTCCCCTTCTAATGAAGTTTTCCTATCCCGAACTATCCTTGCATTCCATGAATAAGCCCCATTCGACCCCATTTAATAATATTTTGAGCATGCTGCTGAATTCTGTTCACTTGTTTTTTTGCTCCAATATTGAGTTCTCGGTTCTTGTAGTGACTCAGTCTTTGGTATCAAGGTAATGCTGGCCTCAGGAGGAGTTATGTAGTGTTCTCAACCCAGAAGAATGGGTATTAATTCTTTCAACACCAGGCAACTCTCAGGAAGCCACTGAAATGAGACTCTTCTCTCCAAGAGCTCTGAGGAGAACTGCACGTCTCACGCACACAGACTTGTCAGATCACCAAACTGCCATGCAGCCAAGCCACTTTCCATCTCTGGTCACATCGCTGTATGCCTAAGCCATGCAATCTGCTGGCAAATAGTTCACAGGACTCTCTTTGAACCTTTTATACCTTGAAAATTCAGTTGTAAAGGCCCAACTTCATTTCCAACTTTAGTAACGAGTCTTTTTTTTTTTTTTTTTTGGCCACAACCAGCGATGATCTGGGTTATTTCTAGATCTGCCGTCAGGAATTACTCCCAGCAGTGTTTGTTCTCGGGGCCTGGGGGGGCGTATGGAATCCTGGGGATTGAACCTGGGTCAGCTGCATGCAAGGCAAATGCCCTCCTCACTGTACTATTACTCTGGCCCCAGTAAGTCTTTTCTTATTTGTAACCTATTTAGGTAATATATGGTCAATTCTGTTTACCTTTCTAGAGAATCACTGTTTAGTTTTATTGATATTCTCTACTTTCTATTCTTTTTTTTAATCCCTGCTTTAATCTTATTATCTCCTTCCTTCTGCCATCATTAGATGACATATAAATTTTTTTAGTCCCTTAAAAACTTTAGCTGTTGATTTCAGAACTGCCTTTTTAGGGGATGGCGATGGTGGCACATCCAGAAGTGTTTGGGGATCACTCCTGGAGGGCTTAGGGGATCATAAGGGATGTGGGATCAAACCGGGGTCAGCTGTGTGCAAGGCAAACTCCCTACCTTTTTTCTTTTCTTTTTGGGTTCACACCCGATGATGCACAGGGATTACCCCTGGCTGTGATCAGGGAACCAAATAGGATGCTGGGAATCAAACCCACATCAGCCTCATGCAAGGAAAACGCCCTACCCGCTGTGCTATTGCTCCAGCCCCACTACCTGCTGCCCCCCCACCAGACCCCAGAACTTTTGTTTTTTCCAATGTAATGACTTAAAAGAAATAATATTTATATTTTTAAGACTTTTCTTTTAGAAGAAATAACGTCATGTATTTTACACACCCCTTCTTCATAGAGTAGCAGTAATAAAAAATGTGCATTATTTCTCTAGAGAACTTTTAGTTTCTTGGGTCACACCTGAAGGTGGCTCAGGGTTTACTCCTGACCCTGCACTCACGGATCACTCCTTCTGGTGCTCAGGAGACCATACTGGATGCTGTGAATTAGACCTGGGTAAGCCATGTGCATGGCAAGCACCCTCCACACTGTGTTCTCACTCTGGCCAGGGAGGGCGCACTATCAGAGCACAGTGGGAGGCCCTGGGTTTAATCCCTAGCATGGGGAAAAATAGATGAAAAGAAATCCCTATAATTTGTCAAGCCTCAGTGCTTCTGTCATCTCAGAGTCATTCTGGGGCATTTATACTTGCAGTCCCAGTTCAACTAGAGAATTAAAAAAAACACAAACAAAAAACTGTCACTAGGATTGTTATTTATATACATTACAGCTCTGGTGTGAATCAGGGAGACCTCACAGTGTCCCCAGGAAAATAGGACATGGGCATCTCAGTTCCAACTCCCAGTGGCCTCGTGACTGCACCCCCTGCCCCCCGCAGCACTTCTCATCTGGAAACGTCCAGTGCAGCTCTATGAGCTCTGGCGTGTGGCCTCTGTCTTCTCATTCGCCTCTGCAGCTAGAGGATCCTTCTGGTCAGCCCACTTCTCTGGGACCTACACAGCAGGCTGACCGGTGAGGGCTGTATCAGCGCCTGGCCTCCACCCCTGCAGGAGCAAACACCAAAGGCAAGCAGAAAGGGGCGCATGCAGCAAATGCCCACGGCCTCCAAGACGGACCTCGGGCACAGTCAGGGACATGCACAGGCCGCATGCCCTCAGGACTGTGACCTCTTGAGGAGCTGTCAGGATTCAGCGGACACAAAGAGCCCAAGATCCCTCCACCCCGTCTGCCTGGAGTCCAGGTGCCAGACAAACAGCCTATCTGGCCGAGACTCTTCTCAACCCTCTGACCTTTTCTGGGGGTCTCTGAACGGACCAAGTGAGGGCATGGTCTCCATCCACACTGCTGTTCCTATCAACTGGCATATGGTTCGAGGTCTGTCCTGCCCTCAGGCTTCTCACCCTGCACACGCACACACATGCATCACACATGCACGCGTGCGTGCACTCACCATGAAGCTGAGGGGCCGGGCCAGACACAATGCCCACTGCCATTCTGCAATTTCCAACATGAACTACGGCATCTTTGGGGTACTTCCTGCCAGGGGCTGCAAGTGGGACTCAGGTCTCCTCTCCCAAGGGCCGGAACAACAGGACAGTGGGAAGGCGTTTGCCTTGTACATGGCAAACCTGGGTTCGATCAATGGCACCCCATAATGGTTCCCTGAGTTCTGTCAGGAATCAGCCCTGAGCACAGCCGGGTATGCATTTCCCACCACCCAACCCTCCGCCCCACTCTGCTCTTTACAGAAGACTGCTGAGGATGGGAGGACAGTGTCAGCAGCAATTTCTGGCCGACGCGATGTTCTGTGACCTACTCAACACTACTGGCAGGAGGCCACCTGCTGCTCCCTCCTCTCCCCGCCAGTCCCCCACAGCCCTGTTCCCCTAAACTAAGAGGCCACAGCAGTCTCTTCTACCACCTGCTTCAACCCCTGTGACAGGCAGGGGCAGAGAGAGAGGCTGGTACCTTAAGGCACTTCCTTTCCAGAGGGTCGATGACCTGATATCCTGGGAAGTCAGGGCTCTCCCTTGACCTCTGACCTCTCAAGAAACCAGCAGTCAACTGCCATGGCATCTGCTCTTTAGGCAGCCCCTTCACAGTCCACCACAGTCCACCTCAGCACGGGGGAAGCTCTGCTTCTAAAGAATGACACACAGAAAAGGGAGTCGGAGTCACACAGTGCAAAGGCTCAAATAAAACAGTGTCACGTGTCGTCTAAGCTGGTCCTCTCCCTTCATAGGGGGCAGACAGAGACCTGGGGCAGTGCCTGGGACACCTACCATTCTATTCCGAGCCCGCCGTGGGGCCTGAGTCAAGAGCAGCCCAGAGGAGCCACCGCTGGAGAGCATCACCCCAAGAGCCCGTGCGGGAGCTGCAAGCTCTCCAGGAAGGTGCCTCCCGGCACGTGTGCGGCCTCTGCTTAGAGGCTCCCACACCACTCTGCACTCAGGCCGCTGCCGGCCACACAGGAGCAGCCCAGCACCCTCCCGGCCTGAACCGAGGACTCCAAGGCCCGCAGCAGCCACAGCAGAACAGCCTCTGGTCAGAGCAAGAACAGACATGGAGGAGCACTTTGGAAACAGCCAGGGTCAGAAGGCGCAGAGCGCGTGGAGGAGTAGAAAGGCCAGGTCCCGGACCACCTGTCCAGGCCAAGCCCCACAGGGCAGAGTCCTGCTGCGGGAGGGCAGCAGTTCATCCTGCTGCAGTTGGACTCATGGGCTGGCCACGCAGAAGAACACGGTTAGAGAAGCTGGGAGCGGTGGGTGAGTGGCAGGTCACAGAGTCACACGGCACACAGACACGGCGGCTCTGCCACTGCTCTGGCCCTGCCCGTGCTGTGCTCGGGTCTGAGAGGGATGGACAGAGACCAGGCTCAGCAGTTCCCCAGGACCCCCAGATGCCCCAGGGCGGGGCGGGGCTGCCACTGCCTCACCTGCTCGTCCACGTAGGCATCGATCCTCTCCTGGCACTGCAGCCACTCGGCGGCGACCCTGCGCAGCTCCTCCTCGGAGCTCTGGTAACGCTGCAGCAGGCTGCTGTAGGTGTCCTCACTGCCGTTGTCGTGGGTCGTGGTGCCCAGCCTGTGGGTGCCGAGAGAGGCCTTTTAGCTCTGCCCTGCTGTGCCATCCAGACAAACTCACGAGGCAGAGCCTGGCAGGCATCGGTGGCCTGGGCCTGCAGACATGAAGGCCTGGCGACGCTGCTCCCTCCTGAGCAGAGTTCACTGACCCGGAAGTATAAATGAATCTGGCAAGAAAAAGTTTTCCAAGTCTAGAGCGCTATCACCTCACCTCTCCACATCACCTTCGTGCCCCTGTGCAGCTCTGTTGTATTTGATTTTGAAATTTCCTATCAAGATTCTCTGGATTTGGTTTCCAAACAGAACAAAACACAAATGTAAAATCTGATTCCACTGGAGATTTTGGAGATTTCTGTTTGTGGGCCACACCCAACTATGTTCTGGGTTTACTCATGGTTTTGTGCTCAGGAATTACTCCTGGTGGTGCTCGGGGGACCACCTGGGATGCCAGGGATCGAACCCAGGTTGGCTGCATGCAAGGCAAATGCCCTCCCTGCTGTGCTATCGCTCTAGCCTCCAGAAACATTATTACTCTTTCATTTATTCTGTATTACATCTTTTTTGTTTTGGGGGGCCACCCCAGTTGTGCTCAGGGACCCTATGGGTTCTGGGGATCCAACCAGGGTCAGTCACAAGCAAGGTGAGTGCCCTCGCCGCTCTGGCTCAAACTCCATCTTAAAGCTGACGAGCAAGCCAAAAGGAGAGCAAATGGGCAGCCCGAGGAGAAGAGGAAGCCTTGGAAGGCAGCTTGGAGTGAAGGGGGAAACTGCGGAGCGGGTGGCCCTGGGAGGCATTCAGTTTAGTCAGAAAAGGTTGCTTGGGGGGCTGGAGATGGTACAGGAGTTAAGGTGGCCCCACCATGAGTGACTCCAGAGCACAGGGCCGGGAGTAAGCCCTGAGCAGTGCTGGATGTGGTAGAGAAAAGAAATCTCAATAAAAAGTTGTTTATTTGGGGGCTGGAGCAATAGCATAGCGGGTAGGGCGTTTGCCCTGCACGCGGCCAACCTGGGTTCGATTCCCAGCATCACATTTGGTCCCCTGAGCACCGCCAGGGGTAATTCCTGAGCACAGAGCCAGGAGGAACCCCTGTCCATTGCCGGGTTTGACCCAAAAAGCCAAAAAAAAAAAAAAAAAGTTGTTTACTTGGAGAGTGAGAGCTTCCAGGCGTCACTTCCAGCTCAATGCTTGAACCAGGCGTGGTAGTGCTGCCCAGGCTCAGCCGTACTGGGACAAACAGAAGATTTGGAGACCGGGTGGCACTGGGGACGGGGTTCAAGGTTGCAGCCCTGGCCAATGACTGGTCTCCTTGATCCCTAGAAACTATTGCTCTTAATATTTAAATATATTACACTGTGAAGACATCTCACTGTGGAGCAGTAAAGTTCAGAGAGTGCCTCTCGACGAGGGCTCGGGGTCACCAGTCACTCCCTGTCGCTCTGCAATCACAGCTATTCTCCTACGCAGGCAGACAAGTTGCACCCACGAGGCAAATCTTTGAACGGATATAAGCCGGTGTTACAAGACTGGCATCAGGTTTAAAATGTGTGTGGGTTAGGGGTGTGTGTGTGTGTGTGTGTATACAAAATCTGGAGTTGCCTCCCGACCCCCAATTTCCAATAAGGACCTCTACGTGACTGTATGTTCAGCAGTGAGAGGCGAGTGACTGAATAGTGAAGACAAACAGGATTGCTGCAGCTGACCACAGCGCCCCACACAGCGGCTGGGCTGATGAGGAAGAGTGAAGGGAGGGGTTCCGAGCCAGAGTTGCAGCGCTGTGCCTCACCCACAGGCTCTCAGGCCAACGCACAGAGTGGCTGGTCTACACTGCCAGTGCCCTGACCAGGCTCTTGCACACGTCAGCTGGCGGCTGGGGAAACCGCAGACAGAGCAGCATGAGAGGCGTGGGAAGAGTGAAGCAGGGTGGGAGGCGTATGGAGTCTGGGATGATCTCGGAGCCTCTTGGTACTGACAATGTGAGGGGATTAATGCCACAGAGCAGCACACACAGAAGTGAAGACAGCAGGGAGGGTGCTGGCTGTGTATGCAGCCGACCCAGGTTCCATCCTCAGTACCCTAGAGGGTCCCCTGAACCTTGAAAGGAGTGACCCCTGAGCACAGAGCCAGGAGTAATCCCTAAGCATTGCTGGGTATGACACAAGATCCCCGCAAATAAAAATAATCAAAGTGAGGAACAGCGTGCCGGAGAGCAAGGGTGCTTGCCTTGCTCTTTTTGTGCTTCTGGGTTCACTCCAGTCCCACCCATAAAGTTCTTCTCCTACAGTCACTCTAAAACAGAGGATGATCTCTGGGTAACTTGTGTGAACATAAAGAAAAGGAGCACAGGGATGGAGAGACAGTACAGCATATAGGGCGCCTGCCACACATGGCTGGCCAAGGTCAATCAGTGGTCCCTGAGCCCTAACAAAAGCAATCCCTGAGCACAGAGCCAGCAGTAAGTCCCAAACACAAGAAACAAAGAAAAGGGGGAGGGTACATCTAGTAAGAAAGCAGGCAAGAGTTCCAGGATACTCCCAATAGGAGAGAGAGAGAACAAAAGGGAATGCCCTGCCACAGAGGCAGGGTGGGATGGGGGGGGTGGGGGGTGGGAAGGATACTGGGATCCGTGGTGGTGGGAAATGGGCCCTGGTGGAGGGATGGGTATTTGATCATTGTACAATTGAAACCCAAGCACAAAAATTTGTAAGTCTACAAACTGTACCTCATGGTCTCACTAATAAAAATTAAAAAAAAAACCAAGAAGTTATTGTTATCTAAGGATCTCTGGTTAAAATAATAGCAATAACTGATTATGCATTTTAATGTTATTATTATTATAATAACAGCAATTAATTATACATTATATTTTTATTTACTTTTTTGGGTTCATTTTATAAACAATTAAAAGCACTGTAACCATAAAGAGAAGCAAAGGCAACTTGGCATTTTCTAATAAACTGATAATAAATAGGACTAATTTGGAAAAAAAAAAGTTCCTGGATACTAACAGGTTTAGCCCAGAAGGGAGTGCGAGAATACCCTGGCCACCAGGGGGCGCCCGGGACCCGCAGGGCCCAAGGACTCCCATGATGGCTACAGGCTGTCAGTCTGGTCTGTGATGACAGATGCTGTGACAACTCAGCTTTAGAAGAAGCTTTCTGTGTGTGCTGTGCATCCCCTTACGTGATGCTGTACATGTTTGTTTCCAGATAGGTATGGAAAGGAGAGGCAGTAGGGAGGGTGGGGTGCTGGTCGTGCACCGCAGGCCCCGATCTGATCCCTGGTAACGCAACTGAGACTGGAGTAAGCCCTGAGCACCGCAGGGGTGTGGCCCAAAAAGCAAAACAAAACAAAGTCTAGGTCGGAACTGTTAAGGCAGACCTGGACACCAGTGGCCCCAACAGAAGACGCTCTAGGTCCACAGCTAGACCATCGGGGATTTGGCCAGCAGCCTTGTTTCATGCCTCACTGACCACTCGTGCTGGCCTGAGAGCAGAACTGAGGTGCAGGGCCCTAGATCCTTCACACAGAGGGAAGGAAACAACACGGGCGCCTTTTGTCAGAGTTCCGCCATCACCCACCCGCTCAGCCACTGTCTGGCTCAGAACCCGCCGGGGAGATGCCCACCTCATGCAATGCCTCTCAGAAGCCAACTGGAACATTCTAAGCTTTTTCTCCCATTCTGCCTGTGGGGTGACCAGACCACACCCCAGACCACCGCCTAACTCCCCACTGCCTCATAGGGGCCTACCAGCTGCTGCTTCAGTGTAAGGAGGGAATGGCTAGGATCCCTCAAGAGGATTCAGGAACATGATGATCAAGACTGGGCCAATGCAGGGGCTAAGAGATGGGGAACTGGTGAGGGGCGCACTTAGGAGAAGGTGCAGTGTTCCATCCCAGCACGATGCATGACCCTGTGGGCCCCAAGCACCCCCTGGGTGGGTGATCCTGGCAACACGGATCACCATACTGCCATACTGCCACCTCGGGTGCTGGCACTGGGCCCAGCAAGGCCTGGTTGGCTGATGGCTGCTGGGAGGAGTCCCCTTCCCCCGCTGAAGAAGAGCAGAAGTCACCCGCAGAGGGAGCTCTGCTGTGTGCACCAGGTACAATCTCAGGGGCACTAGCAGTGACACAGACCCCACGACTCTGGGGCAGATCTGGCATATGTGGAGCAGATGAGGGAGCAGACCTGGGTTCAGGTACATGGGTTGCACACTGCTAAGAACGAGCTGGCGGGGGCCCAGAGTCAAGGCTGACTTCCACTACCCGACCCCAGAAGGCTCCTGCACCCAAGGAAACCCCCAAAAACTGCCCAAGGGGACGCTGGACTTCCCTGGGCCCAGTCCCCTCTCAGCTCAGGCTACAGTCATCTCCCGTGACCGTTTCTCGGGCAGGGCAGCACCTAGCACAGCTCAGGTCTCTCTCATGTGCTTGCAGCCTGCTGCTCGGCTGGGTTTCCACCAGAGCCCTGGGCCCCTTCCCGGCGACCACTCAACTCGGTGATGATGCGCAGATGCCCAGGGTGGCCTGGGCACTCTCCCAAGACACAGGTGGATGAGGATCAAATACATACCTGATCTGTGACACTAGTGCTGGCAAGTTGCTCTGGAGAAGAGGCTCTGAAAAGACCAGATCTTCAAACAGATGTTTATTGTGCAGTTCCCACGTCACCTGGAACTTCTTCAAGTGTTCATTTTCCTATCAAAAGTGAACAGAGGGGGTCTGAGCAATAGCACAGCGGGTAGGGAGTTTGCCTTGCACACGGCCAACCTGGGTTAGATTCCCAGCATCCCATAGGTTCTCCTGAGCACCGCCAGGGGTAATTTCTGAGTGCAGAGCCAGGAGTAAGCCCTGTGCATCGCCAGGTATGACCCCCCCCCAAAAAAAAAAAAAGTGAACAGAGGACAGACTGAAAGAGGAAAGACCCAAGATACCTAGGCTTTGCTCCCTGTGTGCCCAGCACCCTGGTGCAGCTCCCTTGGGCACTGCTAAGCTGCCCTACAGATCTCTCTCTCCCCACTGAGGGGACCCTAAACTCCACTAAGTGACTCACAGCAGAAAGGTAAGAGGAGCTAAAGAGACAGTGCAGAGCCTGCCTTGAGGGATGGTCGCCTCGCAGCTGTGCCCGTGTGCTAGCAATGCCCTTCAATGCAAGCCTGCTCCCCGCCAACAACAACTCACCTATGTCAAACCGACCCCGCCCACCTCCTGGCTCCAACCTCCTGGGGAGCAAGATGGGGGCCGAGCACCTACACTTCTCAAGATTCTACCTTTCACTTGGTCTCACCCCGGAAGCTTGACTCTCACACCACCTCAGCAATGCCTTTCGCAAGATTCATCTTGTTTGGGTTTCTGTTGTTTCCCAGAGAAAAACTGTTCAAATGCCCAGTTTACTCCAGTGCCGCAAGCTCCAGACAAACGTCTCTGAGGGCTAGGGAGGGGCCACTGCGGTGGGCACATACCCAGTGCACGGCAAGGGCGCTTGCCTCGCACACAGCTGATCTAGATTCTATCCCCAGCATCCCATTTGGTCCCCTGAGGCCCACCAGGAGTAAGTCTTGAGCGCAGAGCCAGGGTGAGCCCTGAGCACCGCTGAGTGTGGCCCAAAAAGCAATACAGAAAATATGAAAGATGATCAGTATGAAAGTGAAATGGAGCACGGCCCAAAGAGCTACTTTCTGCTTAACAGGCAATATTCTGCTGCATATGCATGGTTCCAAGCTGGTGCTCCTTCCACTATGACTCCAGGAGCCGGCCCCATGGGTCTCCTGTCTAGGATGGAAGACAACCACTGTCCTCAGGGGTGGACAGTAGTTTACAGGAGGGCAGGCTCTACTGCAGAGAAGCTAGAGAAAGGTCATGAATTCCCTGGAATGATGTGCAAAGGGGTGGGGGTTTGGAGTGGAGCCAAAGGGCCTCTAGACAGTGGTGGTGCAGTGCAGTGATACTGCACGTCTGAGACTCACCAGAAAACGGACTGTCGAGGTCAAACAGAAGTGTGTACACCAAGGTCTCTAGCCACAGAGCCATTGCCTTAGATGCACCTCAAACGTTCCAATTATGTAAGACACAGGCTGTACATCTTAGGCACCACTGATCACAATCTGCTTAAACGCACTTCCACTACCAAGCGAGCACCGGAACCAGCCGCCAGATCAAGTCATCCAACATCAGCCAGGTCAGGGACAAGGATGGCCCCCACGACCCAAGGCCCCTTCTTGCCCAAACCTGTCTCCAGGGGCAGCCCTACTCACACCCCGACCTTGTCTCCTGCCAGGCTCTTTCCAGAAGAGCCTCCGTGCAACCACATGAAGCGCCTGGTCGGCACCTGTGAGCTGTTCTCTTGCCTCATGGTCCCAAGACAGGTTCATGACACAGCAGGTCCCTCAGCCCTTCCCCACAGACCCTGGCAAAGGGAGGTGCAGGCTCTCACCAGCGTGCCAAGGAAGGTGCCAATGGTGCGTGCTGCCTGGCACAGGGCGCTGTACTCCTCCAGGAGCAGGGAGATGAACTGGTGTGCTTGAGGCGGGCCCTGTAGCCCCGACGGTGCCTTAACCTTAGAGGCAGCTGACAGCTGCCGGAGGAGACGGACCTTCATCTCTAGTACGTACTCTCGGGCCTGCTGTTCCAAGCGCTGGTACAACTGGTAGGGGTCGCGCTCGCAGAGTCTGCAAGGAGAAGCAGGCAGTGTCACAAGGGCCCTATTAGGGCACTGAGCGGCTCGGCATTGACCTTGATCGCCACCTTCTGGGGCAGCCAGTGAGGGAGTCAGCTGCACACCACAGAGAAGGGGCCACGCGGGGAACACACCCGGGACTGGCTTGGCTGACACTTGAGCAGCCCCGGGTCTCAGGTCCTAACTCAGTTCAGCACCAAATCACTGGCAAGATGAAAGCCACAGAAGTGAGGGGGGGGGGGGGGGGCAGGAACCCACACAACCAGTAGGGGGCAGAACAAGCACGCCAGGCAGTGGCATCAGGGCCAGTGACTGGAAAGGTGCTGTGCCTGGGAGAAGTAGACCCTAGCACCAGCAGGACCCGTCAGGAGGGCACCGCAGCGACAGCATGGGTACAGGCCAGAGTATGAGTACTCGGCTGTCGAGCCCTCTTCATTTCTCCCACTGTAATCAAGCAAACAACGAACAAGTGAGCAGAATGAGGGGCCGGCCCAACTCAGGGTGCCCTCACCTGGGACCAGGGCGCCTAACCTTCCTCTTCCAGTGCCCCTCAGCCTCCCCTCCCCCTGCCTCTTGCACGGGACTCTGCCGTCACTGTGGCGGGCTGCAGACTCTCCAAGGGGAAGCCTCATGGGGTGACAGCAGCACACCAGCCGCCCAGAGCCCTTGACCCGGAGCCGTGGGTCTGGCACTCTGGTGAAGTGGCTGAGAGCTCCTGGACCTTCAGGGTGATCTTAGAGGAGGCTACACTGTCACCTGCTCCATTTGCTTCTGGGCCACACCAGGAGGTGTTGGGAGAGACCAAACTCTGAGCTGTTAGGTGGTGCTCCTTGCAGTGGTCAACGCTAGCGGCCGGGGTGCAGTGAGGCCACAGTGGAGGTGCTCAAGGGTCTCCGGGAGTGCACTCAGGACCACTAGGCTATACCTGGTGATGCTCAAGGGCCCACGTGGTGCCAGGGATGGTTCCAGGTCAGGCACGCGAGGCTCCCAAGCCCCACCATTTCCCGTTCAGACTCCACAATGAAACACAGGAAGTCTTCTCTAAAGTGCAGCTCCAGGGGCCAGAGGGCTGGCACAGTGGGGAGGGTGCGTGAATGTGCCTGAGCACAGAGATCAGGAAGATGGCGTGAACACACACACTTGCCCCCGAGAGGGGACATGGCCCACGAACTTCCGTTGTCCCATTTCTGTTGAACACAGAGCCCTCCCCAAGTGTGCTGGAGAGAGATGGCCAACTAGGGGCCTGGAGATCAACAATACAGGGACGCCGACAGCAGCTCTGCTCAGGGCCCTGTGCTCACGCCAGGCCTGTGCTCCAGCACTCATAACTAACCCAGTCGGGAACTGTGATATTCTTCTGTTTGTCTGGGGTCACACCTGGCAGTGCTGAGGCCTCACTCCTCCTTGACCCAGCCCTGAACATGAGACAGACAGGAAGTACATGCGGTGTGGCGTGTCAGGCCAGCACCCTCCCTGCTGGACTCTGCTGTTTGTGACTGTGCATCACGTCAGCAGCACTGCTTACCAGCCCGGTGACTCATCCTGCCACTCCCAATTCCGCCGAGACCGTCTACATCTGCACTTAGTTGCTGCGATGCCCAGGGGTGCTCCTGGCTCAACACTCAGGGCTACTCCTGGCAGTGCTTGGGGGACCACATAGGGTTCCAGGGAACAAACCTGGGTCAGCTGCATGCACAGCAGATGCTCTAGTCGCTGTACTATTGTTCTGACCCCTGTCGCTGAGTGTTTTCTTCCGGTCAGCCTACTCTAGTCTCTCCCTAAGCATTTACAAGTTGTGAAGAGAGGGGTGAGGGATTTCTCTTCAAATCCACTAGGAACTAAGGCCACCTCCACAGGGACTGGGCAGCACGCTGCTGTTCCCATCATTTTTCCTGTCTCCTACACAGACCACACAAACAGCACGCGGCCAATGAAGACCCCAGAAGGCTGCATTCAAAGGTGGGAGAGACCAAAGTGAGAATTGGTCCCAGAGTAGCCGCAGGGCAGGAGCACTGCTTTTATTCCAGAACATTCCAGAAATGGGAAGAGGACTGCCCTCTCTTTGAAGGGGTCGAACCTGGGTAGAGAGTCTGTTTCCTCCACAGCCAGCCCCGCCGTGGGTGGGAGAGCAACACTGTGGCGGTAGGCAGAATGCGAGCAGGACACTTGGATGGGATGGAGGGTCCCAAGGGCAGCACGTACCTATCCACGAGCTCCTTCAGCCCCTCCTTGTCCGGTACCAGAGACTGGTCGTGGTCATCGGCCAGCGGGGTTCCTGCCCGGCGGTAGACGCAGCGGACCATGTAGCGCACTTCCGACCAGCACTTCTGCAGCTGCTGGGGCTCCCGCTCTGGCTCGGCCGACGCCTCTCTGCGAAGACACATGGCACTTGGAGTGAGGGGGCGTGTGCCGGGGGCCACCCCCCCTCCGTCGCCCCCCACCCCAAGGACAAACAGAAGGCTGCTGCTCCTGGCCTCCACAGGTGCCACCAGGCAACCCAAGCCCGGAAAGTCCAGGGGCTAGACCCCGACTTCTCTGAATGCTTGGGCTACTCAGGTCTCCTTACAGAGTGCCCACCCCCAACACCCCCACCCCCTGCCACTATCTGTTGCCACTCCACTACCTGCGTTCGCTGCAGGCCTCACAGGCACACGATGCATCTGCAGGGGTGCCCAGTCCTGCTGTGGGCATCGTCTGACTGCCCAGTGCCAGTCTCCCGCCGCCAGCCTCTGGCTGTGACCCACCCAGCGGGGAGTGAAGAAAATCCTGGCCCTGCTTCAGAAAGAGAATATAATAAACACACCATTAGACTCAGATGCACATGTCTGCTATTAACCAGTCAAGGAAAACGTGTTGTGGGACTGGAGCGACAGTACAGCAGGGAGGCGCTTGATTTGCCACGGCCAACCTAGGTTTGATTCTTGGCATCCCATATGGTCCCCTAAGTCCACCAGGAATGATTCCTGGGTGCGGAACCAGAAGTAACCCCTGAGCGTCACTAGTGTGGCCCAAAAGCCAAAAGGAAAAGAGGAAACCCAGGGCTGGAGCAAAAGCACAGCGGGTAGGGTGTTTGCCCTGCACACGGCTGACCTGGGTTCGATTCCCAGCATCCCATATGGTCCCCCGAGCACTGCCAGGAGTAATTCCTGAGTGTATGAGCCAGGAGTAACCCCTGTGTATCGCTGGGTGTGACCCAAAAAGCAAATAAATAAATATTATTTTTTTTAAAAAAGGGGAACATAAAGTAACAAAATAGGAGACTAACACCCAAGAATGGCCGAGATTAGTACCAGAAATTTTGCTCCATGGCTTGGAGGCCAGCCACACATACATGCTAGGGGAAAAGGCAGCTCAGATAGAGAAGGGAGCACCAAATAAAGGGCGTTGGGAGGATCCTCCCAGGATGGGAGAAGCATGCTGAAAGTAGACTATAGACCAAACATGATTGCCACTCAATGCCTCTTTTGCAAACCACAACACCCAAAAGGAGAGAGAGAACAGAGGGGAATGCCCTGCCACAGAGGCAGGGTGGGATGGGGGGTGGGAGGGATACTGGGATCCGTGGTGGTGGGAAATGGGCACTGGTGGAGGGATGGGTATTTGATCATTGTATAACTGACACCCAAGCACAAAAATTTGTAAGTCTACAACTGTACCTCATGGTGTCTCACTAATAAAAATAATAAATAAATAAAAAGAAAAAAAAAGAGGGAACCAGAAAAGCACCTTAGGAACACACTTCAAAGCTCACACCAAAATGAACGAACTCCATCAGCATCTGTTTCTCCCCGGAATGGATCATTTCTTTGGCTTGCTGCTCAGGGTATCACTGGAGCTGGGCAGAGCACTCAGCCCAGAGACGTCTCTATCACTTGGCACTGATGCGCAATGGCAGGTGGGACTGAGGGCATCTTCCCTCTCTGAAAAGGACAGTCCTGCATGGCCACCCCAGGAGGACCTCTGTGAGAGACACAGTCAGGGACCTCACATTGCTCTGAGCAAAAACCGGGAGCTCACTGCCAGTCTGGCACTGGGGGCAATGCCAGGAACGGTGCATCAAGGCAGCAATACTGACCATGTCCATGCTAAGGCCCCCCACAAGCTCTCTTTCTCCCTCTCGTCTTGGGCAGCCCCACCTCCGCCCTGAGGGGGAAAATGCTAAAGGGGCTTCAGTGTGGAGTGACAGATGTGCCTGTCCAGGTTTGCCCCAACACTTGCAGCACTTGGTTGCCTTCCAAGGGCCTGTGTCATGTGTTCCTTGGAGTCTGAACACACGGACCAGAGTGGAATGGCTTCCAGAGCTTCACAGGGCCACCGCTCCCTGGGGCAGAGAGCAGTTCCACAAGAGCAGAGCCTGTCCTGACCAATGCAATGCTGACCAACACACAGGAAAACTGCAGAACAGGAACAAGGACCCAAGAGTGACACTTCCTGTTGACAAGGGATAATATGAGCGCCAAAGAGACAGGACAGCATTTACCTCGTGAAAAACCACCCCGGATCAAGCCCAGGCACCTCACATGGTCCCTAAAGCCTGTCAGGAGTAAGTCCCGAGCACCTCTGGGTGTGGCCCCAAAATAAAAAATACAAAAAGCCAAAGACCACTATTCACATCACCCTTAAAAAAAACATAAGGGTCAGCCTCCAAGGTGTTCAGTGGGGAAAGAGATAGTCCGAGTCAAACTCAGGGCCTTACCCATGCTCCGTCTCACACCCATCTTCCCACGAGGCTTTCCTTGGAACCTGACAATTCTATCCGCGACTGCTTTCATAAAGATTGGTCATTGTTCTGCTGATAGTATGAACCAACCCACAGGACAACAAAATACCAAGTGAGCAAACTTAGGTGGCTGATTTATGCCAGGGTCATCAGCATCAATCAGCCCCCCCTGCAGTGGCTAACAGAGACCCTAACCCTGGAGTCAGACTTAGAAGCCATGAAACATAGACAAAACTGCTCCTGTCTATAACAAAAGTCTTCGAAGTATTGCTTCTGGGGCCAGAGCAGCAGTACAGCAGGGAGGGAGCTGGCCTGGCACACTGCCCACCCAGGATTGATCCCCGGCACACAAGCACCCATGAGGCGTGAATCCTGAGCAGAGCCCATAGTGACCCCTGAATAGTGCTGAGTTAGGCCCCCCCCCCAAAAAAACCGAGAGAAATAAAAATGCTTCATTGAAAACAGAAAAAGAGAAAAGATTAAATTTTGCTGATCAGCTTTCTTCCTAAATCTTACCCACTCCTTGCAGAAGGAACCTCTTTCAGAGAAAACCATTTGTCAAAATGCCATCTGCCACACCACCAAACCTCAACTTTTATTTGGTTAGTTTGGGGCCCACAACCGGTGGGAACCAGTGACCCCTGCTTGGGGGACACCATTCAATATCAGGGGTTGAGCCTGGGCCTCCAGCATGTGCTCTGGTCGGTCCTTCAGCCATCTCCCTGGGCCCTTGAATTGCTTTATTCCTGAAACAAACTCAACTGAAAATACAATTTTGTTTTCCAGTCTTAAACTATAGCAACCTAAACCAGTCAACACGCTGGATATGAAGAAGAGGTGGGGTGGGAGAGGGAGGAGGAGAAAGAAGGAAAGGGAGAGGAGAGGGGGAAAAGGAGAGGGAGGGGAGGAAGGGGAGGGAGAAGGGGAGAGGGAGAAGGGGCAGGAGAAGAGGGGAAGAGTGGAGAGTTGGGGAATGGAGCGGAGAGGGGGAGGGGCAGCTGGTAACTGACTGCACCCATGTGAGTAGCACCTTCCCAAGGCCTTTTCTGGCCCACATCCCGTATGCCTCGACCCCCTGGAATAGGTCTCAGCCATCCCAACTGTTCGCCCGCCACATGTCTTTGCTTGGCCTTCACAAAGAGGCAAGTCAACGGAAGTCAGGGACAAGCCTCTGGAGCTGTCAGAACCCAGGGAGCAGGAAATGCAGCAGAGTGGCCATCTGCGGTCTCACCTTCCTTCAGATGATTCCCCCTGGGGTCGCCTACTCTCTAAGCATCTCGTGCACCTCTGCCTGTACACCCTGTCTCACCAAAGCGTGATTCTAGAGTGAGCCCCAGCTCACTGACCTGGGCAGAATGGCACGGGCACGGAGTGCACGCCTTACACCTAACACTGAACAACACGCAAATCTCCTCCACTCTGCTGACCCAGGTCAGGAAGAGCAAGACCTGGAGGTCACACAATGCTGGGGCAGGGGCAGGACGGAAATAACGACCTAGCACACTCACCTTCGCACTGTACCTAGGAGGTACCAGGGAAGAGATGCCGTCAGCAGCCCCTTACTGTCCCTGCTGAAGGGGAACATGTCTTCTGACCTCAGACACTAGCATGGCATTGAGGGTTGACAGAGACCCCCCCCCAAGTCCTCATCTGGGCTGTGTCAGTCTGCACAGCGATAAACCCCTCACACAGCACCCCTTCCCCAGGGTGGAGCTTGGGAGCTTGATTCTCTGAACTTGCCCTTCCCTTCCCTCTGGGTCCTGAACTCTGACCCACCCACACCCTAACAAGACTCTCTGTCACCAAGGGTGAGTTATTAAACTGCCCTGTTTTTCAATAATTACAGGGGGCGGAGAGGGGGGAATGAGAAATAATTCTTCATCCTTCCACAAAATGACTGAAGAATAAGTTCCAGTGTAACACTGAATTATCTGTGAATCACGTCAATTGGAAAGGGATAGAATGAGTGAAGACAAGAAAGCCAGCCTGGAAAATGCCAGAGAAGACACGGGAGTCAACCCGACATGCACTGGAGAGACTGGCAAGAAGGTGAGCACACTCAGGAGAGCAGCAGAGGAGAGCGCAGGAATGGAGGGTCCCTGAGGAGGCTCTGAGATAGAGGAAGGATCTGGGGTGGCGTGCGCAGAGCAGCAGCACAGCAAGCGAGTCCTGGGGCCAGGGCCCACAGAGCAATCACGGTTTCCCGCACAGCCTTTGTTGCAACGTGAGCCCGCAGTCACTGCACGCTGGCTCCCAAACCCACGGCGTCACCCTGCCAGGCAGATGCCGCCCCCTGGGCCTTCCGCTGTGCTGTAATCCCTCGCATGAGGCTGAGGGGCTACCCTGAGCTGGGCAAAAGGGTGTGGTGGGGCGAGAGACAGTACAGCAGTGGGGAGTGCCTGCCTAGCACAGTCAGCTCGGGTTCGATCCCCAGGATTCTGGTCCCCCGACGGTCACGAGGAGTAACTGCTGAGCACAGAGCTGGGAGAAGGCCTGAGCACCATGGGGTGTCATCCACAAACAATGTGGGAGGATGAGGAAGAGAAAAGCAAAGGTTTGTGGCACCTTGGGGTACAGATGGGTGCATGCCCAGGGGAGGCAAAAGCAGAGCTATGAGAGTCACCAAGCTGAGAAGAGGGCCCTGGCAAGGGTAGTCAGTGGCAACCAAGCACATAGCCTCAAGGAGGAAGCTGAACCACACGTGCTAAGCCCTTCACGGGCCCTTCCCGAGCTGCCCTTCCCTTGGCTGCTCTGAGCATGCGGCGGTCTTGGAAACCTCTGTGGGCACGCCTCTACTCCTGAGAGCCCAGAAGCCCCTAGGGAGACCCACGGGGAGCACCCACCAGGCCTCCCACAGCTGGAGAAGGCTGGCCCCACTGTCTCCCCAGGAGGGAGGCAGCCGTCCCCAGCACACACGTGCTACCCTACCCCACAGCAACTGGAAGGACGGCGGGGTCAAGCACACGTATATGGAAGGCCTTGGGTTCGAGTTGCAGTAACTCAAAATTTAAAAAACAAATTTTAATTAAGGAATTGAAAAATCAGAAGAATGTCCACAATGAGCTGCATGGAGTGCCACAGGCCTTTGGCCATCTCAGGTCAGCAGGCTGGCCACAGCACTGCCACTCGCACAGCACCAGCAGTTTCACTTGAAGCAGAGCCTCAGTTGAAAAAAGCCAGTGATTTTAACCAGCTCAAACAAAGGGGCCAAAGGAACAGAAGGTCTGTGAACAACAAGCATGGATCAGAAGCCCAAGAAACAGGATGCAACAATGGTAAAAAGCCAGAAAACGAAGAAAGTCTGCGACCAGGCCCGGACACAAATCAATGCCAGTAACATCAAACGACTTTCCACTAGAAAACAGGGGAAGTGGTGAGGGAGATAGGTCATAGGGACCAGTACCTGCTTCAGAAGAGTGAGGCCAAGTCTGAGCCTGAGAACCACAGCACCAACCCCTAAGCACTACACCAGGGTATAAATCTGACGGCTCCAGCACCAACGGCCCCGAGCAATAAACCATGAGTGGCCTGGGAACAGAGCACTGGTGCGCAGAGGCCCTTTTCTTAAAAAATAGAGAAATGACCAAATACTTTAAATGGATACAACAAGTAAACAAAAGTGAACCAATAACCAACAAAGACGAACGCTCTGAGGATAAAGACCTAAGGCTGACGGGCCCCAGTCTGCTCACTTAGACACTACTGGGCTGGATTCTGTGGACAGTGAATGGATACGTCAAGGCTGTGTTCCCTGTAAGATGATTCACACAACTGCTCTCCTCGTGGAACTTGAATTCAGCAGGAAGGGAGCAAAGGGAGAGAATCTCCTGGTCTCTGAACCGACCAGAACCAGACAGAACCTGCACAGGGTCTCACCCAGGGGACCAGCAGGGGATGCAGGCGCTGCACCCCAGGAGGGAGTAGAGCACAGAGCGCTGAGGCTGGAGCCCTGAAGAAACAAGAAACCAGCAGCTGCAGGAGCAGAAAACGAACCACCATGCCCTTGAGGAGCAGCTGTGGGGCCAGACCTGTAGCATCTGTCCCAGCAGAGTGAGGGGCTAATTTCAACACTGCAGCGAAGAAGGCAAGGCACAGGCACCACCTGGGATCGAGCACGAAGGCTCAAGTTTGTGCTAGCACAGGAACTGCCAGTCTGTGAGCACTACAGATGGAGCCCCAAAGTGCTAACCAGACTTCTCCCCTCCCTGAACTCACAAGCCCAAATTCTCCGGCTGGGGCCCCCAGTCTTTTGACATCAGCGACGGCATATCTGTGGTTGTAAGAAGTCAGCAGAGCGCAGGAACAGGCCCTGTCTCAGGCAAGGAGCCCAGATGGATGGCCCAGTCAGCCCCCGGATATGAAAAATAAATCAACGAAGAAATTCAGCTGCAGCAAAGGAGGACCGGAAGGGCATCATCCACCTCTCTGAGGAGGTTCAAAGCAGCAATCCTCTCAAAGCTCAAGGAAACACAGAGAATCTTCCACTGACCTGAGGGCCGGGGAAGGAAGAAATGGCTATGAAGGGTCTTTAGGGTATGGGGAGGGAGTCACTGGCACACACAAACCTAGGACATCAGAAACTAAGAATCACTATCTCACTACTAAAGTACCAGGACACTGGACCTGATCGGGGCTCGAGAGTCCAACAGAAATCACTGGATGGGTGTCAGGCAGCAAGGAGCCAGAGGAGACTAGAGACAAAGGTGATTCTGGCAACACCAAAGCAGGCAGCAGAGCACCATCCTGTTAAGGGCTCTGAGGCGAGCAGTCTGGGAAGGGACCTCGTTAGCCGTGGCTAGCAGGGAGAGGTGAGAGTGGAAGGGTCCACTGCCTGCGAGCAGAAATTCAAGAAATAGCAGAGCTCTGAAACTTGGGTCTCCGTTGGCCATGCCCATCAACCCCAGGCTCCCGGAAGTGCGGTGGGCCTTTTCAGACGCAGGTCTGGGCTGGCGTTGTATGTCGGAGACCCAAGTTTCATCCCAGCGTCACAAAAGCAAAACCACAACACTGACATCAGAGCCAGGGTCCACTAAGGCACAGATCTGCCTAAGGGGGCAGCCTTCCACACCACCCACACAGCCCTGAGAACCGTACGGAGGAGACCACACAGCCGCCAACCGTACAGGGCATGCTCGAGAACCAAACACACGGTGACTCTCTACTTTTCCAGAGACTGTGAGGACTGAGCTCAGACCAAACCCTTCCCCCAGCCAGCCGTCTGCAGTGTTGTCTGGCCACACAGAACATGTCCCCACTTCCTGGGAACAGCCCGCAATCAGAGTAGGGGAGGGGCCTCACCGGCTGGCGCTGTGGCTGGTCCAGGCCTGGCCTCTCCTCCTTCTCCACGGTGCGCCGGCAGTCGGGGCACACCCACAGCGGCAGGTGCAGCACGCTGTTGCCCTTGGGCACCATGGAAAGCGCCAACTTGCTGGCGGTCTTGACTCCACTCTCTAAGAATGCAGAGTCTTTCCGCTCGCTTCTGCACAGAAGACAGTAATCTCCGGCGGGGTAAGGTGGGCTTCTGTGATTTATGCCAAAATTAAACGGAGTCTGGAACAGAAGAGAATTTTCATTTTCAAAACACGATTCATAAAGCCAAGACCATTTAAGAAACATTAACTACACTTCTAAAATTAAAACACATGTATGGGGAAAGAGTCAATTTTTAAAACTAAACTATCCTAGAAACACAATATTTTATTAATACCATGCTGGAGTGATAGTACAGTGGGGAGGGTGCTTGCCTTCCAAGTGTCCAATATGGGTTTGATTCCTTGTACCCCATAGGTACCCTAAGTCCACCAGGAGAGATCCCTGAGATCTCTCAGGAGGAAGCCCTGAGAACTACTGGGTGTGACCCAAAATCCAAAAACAAAGGAAATAGTAGTACCATTATGGCCTTCTGCGAACGGGGGCAGCAGACTCCCTTCCCCTCCAAGAGGCCCAGCAGCTGTCACACCAGGCCCCCAGCGTATAAAGGGGCCCAGCCCCACAGCTCCTCAAGTTTGTGGCCGCAGCAGCATATGCGGCATGCAGCACCTCTTCCAAATTACACAGCATGGACAGCTCAGTAGGAGCACAACAAATCTGATAGGAAAGTTGTGCAGAAGTTCACCAAGCTTAACAAATGAAAACAACGCAGACGCGTCAACAAGACCAGTAAACACATACAGTGACTTTAGCAACACCAGTGTGATACCACAATTATCAAGAAATGACTTTTATTGATCTATTTTCTGATCATCCACTTGCCATTTTGTTGTAGCTTGCAATATGAAGTAAATTTGTGCCCATAAGTTGGGGCAGGCTTGGGGAGTGGGTGGGAAACTGGGGACGTAGGTGAAGGGAAGATCACAGTGGTGGTGGGATTGGTGTTGGAATACTGAAGAACTGAACAACTGTGTAAATCACATTTGTTCTTAAATAAAACAAGTTGTAATACCATATAAAATATCCCAGTGGGAGTCAGAAAACTTTCAATCCAATCCTTCCACCTTGACTTTTATATAATTCCTCTGCATGACGGGAATGGTCTGTGAGTTTTCAGACTACAGGAGCACTGGTCATTAGCCATGCTGACATTCTGGTGTTCCTGCACATGGGGGCTCATGCTCAGGGGACCATCTGATTGGCTCACATCTGTGCGGAGGAAGCTGAGCTCAGTCTGGGGTCAAGATCAACGAGAGACTGGCCTCTGTGCTCTAAGGCCCAGCTTCCCTTATGGCATGGCATCACTACAGAACTCAGATTGCACTGTCCATTCCCAGCAGCCTTGAATGAGACCAGGAGCAGGGGCCTCAGTGGAAGGAGCACAAAGCACAGTCATATGCCAGGCCCTCTCCAAAAGACTATCAAGAAGATCAGGGGACAGGGGCTGGAGCAATAGTACAACAGGTAGGATGTTTGCTTTGCATGCGGCTGACCCAGGTTCAATTCCCAGCATCCCATATGGTTCCCCCGAGCACCACCAGGAATAATTCCTGAGTTCAAAGCCAGGAGTAACCCTTATACATTGCTGGATATGATCCCCCCCCCAAAAAAAAAGATCAGGGCATGGTTCAAAAAGGCTGGACCGCATGCTTTAAATTCGGGAGACCCAGCTTTGATTCCCAACATACATGTCACGTGCAAGGTGCAAGTCCCTGGAATCAGGTGCTGCTCACTGTCCTCCCGTTGTTCATCGATTTGCTCAATGCGGGCCCAGTAACGTCTTCATTGTGAGACTTCTTGTTACTGTGTTTGGCATATTGAATACTCTCGGTAGCTTGCCAGGCTCTTCAAGAGGGGCGGAGGAATCGAACCTAGCTCAGCCAGGCTGGCTGCGTGCAAGGCAAATGCCCTACCGCTATGCTATCACTCTAGCCCTAGGTGCTGCCCATAAACTGAGAAAGAAAAAGGGAGACAACACAGCAGGGTCCACCAGGGCTGCTCAGAGGATAATGTGGGGGTGGGGATCAGACATGGTCTAATCCTATATAGCCTCCAGTCCCCACAGAGCATGTGTATTCATGAGAAAAGCTGAGACCGAAAGACCAGGAAAAAACAGTAACCACACGGAGATATGAAGAACACAAGCAGGAAGGCCCTACGCGGAGGTTAGTAGAACCACAGGGTTCAAGCGCAGGCAGAGGCGCTGAACACACAGGGCAGGGTGGGCAGCTGCGTGGACCAAAGACAGCCATGCAGCACCGGGGTCCCCCTAGGTACCAGTAAGTCAATGAATTCGAGCCTTGGGCTTACCAGTTCCTACTACTGACCCTAAAGCCCTAGGGTCAGAGCAGATGACCCTAGAAACGGCCGACTTCCTGAAGGACAATCTGGCAGGCCCATGTGCTTGGGCAGGAAGCTAAACCTACCAATGGAGCCAGCCCATGAGCTAAAAATCAAATGAACTGGGGCTGGAGAATGGACAGTGCTGGGCAGGGCCTTGCTAGATATGCAACTGCCCCAAGCTGAACTCCCAACACCCCGTATGGTCTGCTGACCACAGCCAGGAGGGATCCCTAAGCACAAAGCCAGGAGTAAACCCTGAGTGCCACTAGGTGTGTCCCTCCCCCGCCCCCCCAAAAAAAACCTTAAAAAAAACCCAAAACAGCTAATAATAATAATAATAATAATAATACAATTCAAATGAACAAAATACTCCGTGTGGCAACTCTGGCTCTCTCTTCATGACTAATACATGTCCTGCTGTCTTTCCCCCCATTCTCTTTGATTCCATCTTCTTGGTGCAGTGACTGGGGCTGCATTCTTGCTTGGCTCAGCCTGTACAGGCCAGGGCTTTGCACACATGTTCACGGGGTCGTGCCTTTGGCAGTGGTGCCCCCCCCCCACCAGAGAGAGAGAGCGCACTTACTCAGAGTCGGCACCAAGGAGCCCAATTGAGTGCTTTTCCCTCTGAAGTCATTCCCAGGCTTCTCCACTAAGTCTTCCCAAACTACTTTACAGCTCTACTGAAGTACAATTGAGTAAGATGTGCCAGAAATACTAAGGTACACAACACAAAGAGTTCTGACATTTCAGCCCTGAAACTGCGAGAATCAAGGTAACAAATGTGCTCATACCCTGCATCCCCTTGCGCCCTTTGGTACCCTCCTCCCGACCTTGCTTCTTTCCTTTTACCCAGTCCTCTTTATGGCAGCCACTGAATTGTCATTAAGGATCACCCAGTTCTTACACTGCATTTAAAGGACACAAGACAATTCTCGACTCTTGAAAGAATCAGCTCTGTGGTCAGGGATACGGTTTAAGGGACCAGAGCCCCAGGTTGTCTCCTGAACACTGGCAGGAGTAGCCTCTAGAACTGCCTGGTGTGGTTGCCACACCTCCCCAAAATAAACCTTGGGACTGCAGGAAAGGCTCGTGCCCTGCACGTGACCGATCCGGGTTCCATCCCCAGATATGGGCCCCCGAGTCCTGCCAGGCGTGATCCCTGAGGGCAGAGCCATGAGTAAGATCTGATCTCCACTGGATATACTTCCCGGCAGAAAAGCCCAAACTCTCAGGAGATCGGGAGGTGGCCAACAAATGCTCACCTGGCCACCACGGGGCTAGAAGCCGAGCAGTCCCCACAGTTCTGCCCATTGTGACCTCTTGCAGTGCACCTGGGCAAGTCCCCATTTATGTGCACGGCCCAGATGATGGCCAGCATGTGTACAAACACGTGGAAACGCAAGGAAATTCTGGACTGTGAGTTTTCCAGATTACCTTTCTTTCTAACTTACTGATCTCTGCTCCTAGTATTCTAATACATCCTTTCTCTGCATGCTGCTGGTTCTGCAAATTTCCATTTTAATGTGAAGAGACACGCCATCAACCCCTTCTTCTCTCAGAATACAGGTTTGTGGAGTCAGAGTAATAGTAGAGCAGGTGGGGTGCTTACCCTCCATACAGCCAACCAGGTTCAACCCCTGGGATCCCATGTGGCGCTGAGCCCGCCAGGAGTGATCCCTGAGCTCAAAGCCAAGAGTAAGTCCCAAGCACTGCTGGGTACGGCACAATAAACAAAGAATTCACAAAGTTTGCAATACAAATTTCCCTAGAAATGCCATCAACTTCATTTCACAAATCCTGACTCCCCCCACCCCCAAACAAGCTCTGTCTTTTGGTTTCTCTGATCTGCTGTTGAAAATGCAGTTCAGAGCCCAAGAGATGGTAGAGGGGTTAGGTGCAGCGTCTGACCTGGTTCAACCCCCAGCATCACATGGCTTCCCAAGTATCATATGGTGAAGCCCCGGACACGACTGGGCCTGCCCCCTAGGCCCTGGCACCACAGGGACCAAAAAGCACCACAACCTCAAGCCTTTGAACAGTACCAACCCAGATGGCTGAACAATGCTGGAAGTCATGAGCACTGACCTGGGAGGCCTACCTACCAAAAATAATTACAAGCATAAAAACCTGGGGCACAAGAGATAGTGCCAGGCTAACCACGGTTCAATCCCTGGCACCATATATGTCGCCTTAGCACCACTAGGAGAGGGCCCGTCGCATAGTCAGTGTGGCCCCCTAAGAGAGCGAGAGTACATTGGGTAGGGGATTTGCCATGTATGCGGCCAACCCAAATCCTGTTCCATAGTTCTTTGATAATGTTCATTTAATAACATCAGAAGAATTGTGAGAAATCAATTTATGTGGACAGTTTGATATTAAAAACAGTAAGGGCTGGAGTGATAGCACAGCGGTAGGGCATTTGCCTTGCATGCAGCCAACATGCCCGACCCGAGTTCGATTCCTCCGCCCCTCTCGGAGAGCCCGGCAAGCCACCGAGAGTATCTTGCCTGCATGGCAGAGCCTGGCAAGCTACCCGTGATGTATTCAATATGCCAAACACAGTAACAACAAAGTCTCCAATGGAGACGTTACTGGGCCCGCTCGAGCAAATCGATGAAGAACGGGAGGACAGTGACAATAAAGTATGGTTTAGCTTCTAATATTTGTAATTTTCTAAATATTTGTGTTACCGATTTCTAATAAAATGCCACTGAAATGAAAACATGGTTTGTACAATTTCAGTTCTTTCATATATAAGAAGGCATGTTTTTTGATGG